AATAACCAATGTAATCGATTACTTTTAAATCCCACTCATGAACAAGATTATATACACAGAGATGTGTATGTCTCTCAATGTATATATGCATAAATATATATATATATATATATATATATATATATATATATATAATATATATATAGATAGATAGATAGATAGATAGATAGAGAGAGAGAGAGAGAGAGAGAGACAGACAGACAGACAGACAGACAGAGACAGACAGAGAGAGAGAGAAGAGAGAGAGAGAGAGAGAGAGAGAGACAGACAGACAGACAGAGTGGATATATATACAGTAGGAGCCCACTTATACGGCAGGTTAGGTTCCAGGCTACCGCCATAAAGCTGAAATCGCCGTAAAGTGGAACGCCCTTTTTTACACTTATAAATGCAATAAACTACTACTAAATGTAATATACTACTAATAAATGTAATATACTACTAATAAATGTAATATACTACTAATAAATGTAATATGCTACTAATACACATTTCCTCAGTTAACTGTTTTCTTAGTTCTGTTTATTTTTATTGACTTTAAATTTCTTCCCTCCATTTTAAATTATTCATTATTTCTCCTAGCATGATATTCTAATCTCCAGATCATTATTAAATCAAGAAGCTACTGAACAGTGCAGTCACTAGCGATGTGAGGACGGAGGATAGAGCTTCCACCACTCCTTGTTGTGACTGGCATACAAGCTGTGATGATTCTGTTTATGTAGAATAATCATCATTCTCCCATTTCTCTCTTTCTCATCTCCCATTTTACACATTTCTAGTGCAAGACTGAGGAACTGATTACCTTATCTTCTACTGTCTACAAGGCTGAGGGACTGATTACCTTATCTGTGACTTTCCCGTTTCAACGCCTTCACACTAATATTCAGCTATTGCTAATACAATATGGAGATTGTATAGAACAGATTTTTGGAGTGGTGGTTGATGCAGTATTGTGGTTGTGATAGTTACTTTAGTGGTTGTGGTAGTGGTGGTAGCGGATGTGTCTGGTGGTGTTGTTGTTGTTCGTGGCAGTACACGATCTTGTTGGCTGTGGTAGCGGTGGCTGCGTTTGTTTATGTGGCGAAAAGTGTGGCGGTGGTTGTTGTAGTTGGCGAGGAAATGGTTGTTGTTGCGGTGGTGATGGTGATGGTAGTGAGAATATTTGTAGCTGTGCTATAATTGAAATATTGTGAGTGTTGATACAGTCGATGGATGCTGTATTGATTGAGAGAGAGAGAGAGAGAGAGAGAGAGAGAGAGAGAGAGAGAGAGAGAGAGAAGAGAGAGAGAGAGAGAAGAAGACAGACAGAGACAGACAGAGAGACAGAGAGAGAGGAGGGTAAACGAGGATGAAGAAGGCAGACGAGGTACCACACAACAATTACCCACCTCATCAGTCTCACGAATACTGAGAAGATTGCACAGGTCTTGCAAGACAGCTGTTGAACGAATGATGGTGAATGTTTCTTTTTTTTCTGGGGGTTAATCTTCATTGGTGGGAGTGACTAAAAAAACAAAAACAAAAATAAAAGCCAGAATTCACTCTGCCATCACAGGTCGTAAAGTTAGAAGAAACAGCTTCACCGTCTTTCATGCAATCACTGTCTTGACAGAAACATGTCAACATTGAGATTGATAAGCGTTATGACCTTGGGGGTGAGGATAAATTAAGGCATATACTGAAGGAGTCCAAAATGGAAAAAATATATAGTTTGGCTGATGGCAGGCGGTTGACTGCAAGGTCAAGGTTGTGGATGTGGTGGCATTATTGTAATTGTGGTGGTGTTTTTGTATTTATGGTGGTTGTGATGGTGCTATTGTGGTTGTGGTGGTGTTATTGTGGTGGTGGAGGTTGTGGTGGTGAAGGTTGTGGCAGAAGTTGTGTTGTTGACAGTGCATAGAATTCGGTGGAACTGGTATGACAAGGGTCGTGTCTGGCACGGCGTTCTTCTATCTTCCTTAGGTCACCCTTTCGCCTCGTACCGTTCATTCTAAACTTTCTCCCGTAACTTCAACTGCCACAAGCTCTTACTCCTCACCTCGCGCCACAACTCGCTAACACTCGCAAGTTCGCCACAATCTGTTGCAGGCAGGCGCAGCCTTTCTGAAGTAGGCGCCACCTCCTTCACCTCGCTATAACTTGTCGCTAGTTAGATGAAGGTACCAGAAAACATCATTAACTCAACCAAGCGGCCGCAGGTGGAACATGTCAACCAGGAGCACTGCAATCACTTTACACACGTCTCGCTTAATGTCAATAGAAACGTTCTTCATGACCGTATTTTAAGAAAAAACGTTCTTTACATCTGTATTTTTAAGAAAGAGAAACGCTACTGATGTCTTTATTTTAAGGCAAACGTTCTATACGTTTGAATTTAAAGACAGACGCACTTAACGTCTGTTTTAAGAAAAATAATGATAACAATAATATTTTTTTTTGTCCAAAAAAAAGCATGTAGTAATGAAACATAAATACATGTATCCGCAGACTTTACATTTCTTACTTCTTTTCTCCAACTTTCGTATAGATTAAGCAGACGCTTCCATCTCTCTCTCTCTCCCCTGGCGCTGGGGGACAAGCGTGGCATTGACTTACCTTCTCATTACTCGAACACGAGGGATAGATAGTCATAGACATCACCCTAATTGTCCTACTTGCCAATTATCTGGCTGGAGACGCCTAGCTTGCTCTGTGTGTGTGTGTGTGTGTATATATATATATATATATATATATATTATATAATATATATATATATATAATATTATATAATATATATATGCATATATATAATGTATATATATATATATATATATATATATATATATATATATATATATATATATATAATTATATTATATATATATATATAATGTATATATATAATTATATATATATATATATAATAATGTATATATATATATATATGTATATATATATATATATATATATATATATATATATATATATATATATATATATATATATATATATATATATGTATATATTATATATATATATATATATAATATATATATATATATATATTTTTTTTTTATTATCACACTGGCCGATTCCCACCAAGGCAGGGTGGCCCGAAAAAGAAAAACTTTCACCATCATTCACTCCATCACTGTCTTGCCAGAAGGGTGCTTTACACTACAGTTTTTAAACTGCAACATTAACACCCCTCCTTAGAGTGCAGGCACTGTACTTCCCATCTCCAGGACTCAAGTCCGGCCTGCCGGTTTCCCTGAACCCTTCATAAATGTTACTTGCTCACACTCCAACAGCACGTCAAGTATTAAAAACCATTCGTCTCCATTCACTCCTATCAAACACGCTCACGCACGCCTGCTGGAAGTCCAAGCCCCTCGCGCACACAAAACCTCCTTTACCCCCTCCCTCCAACCTTTTCCCAGGCCGACCCCTACCCCCGCCTTCCTTCCACTACAGACTGATACACTCTTGAAGTCATTGTTTCACTCCATTCCTCTACATGTCCGAACCACCTCAACAACCCCTTCCCTCACCCCTCGGAAAACCCGGGTTTTGGGAAAACCCGCACCTCCTCCAAATTCCCAAAAACTACGAATTCTCTGCTTTTATTCACCCCAAAATTTGCCCTCAGACATGACTTTTCCACTCCCCCAGCCTTTTTCCTCCCCTGCAAATTCATCACCCATGCTTAAACACCCATATAAGAGTTTTGGGTAAAACTAAAACTCTCATAAAACCCCCTCTTTGCCTCCAAGGACAAATTTTCTTTGTCTCCAAAAATTAAGTGCACCACTCCCCCTTTCCCCCCTCATAAAATTCTTGAATTAACCTCATCCTTCTTAGCCCCTTTCCGTGAACGCCCCACTCCCAAATACTAAATTTAACATTCACTTCCCCCATACTCTCTCCTACAACTGATATAAAAACTTTAAATCCCCAAATTTTTTTTTGTTATCCCCCAAAACCTTACTTTTCCGGTTTTCATTTTTTAATTTTTTTTTTTTTTTTTTTGCACCCCCTCCCAAAATTCATCCACCAATCTCGGGCAAATTCTCTTCAGAACCCCCAAGAGCACAGTGTCATCAGAAAAGAGAAACCTGTGACAACCCCATTTTTTTGTGTGTTTCTTTATTTTTTAAAACTCCACCCCTCTTGTAAAAAAACCCTCGCATTTACTTTCTTAAAACCCCCATCTATAAATAATTTAAACAACCACGGCGACATCACCATCCCTGCTAAGGCCTTTTTTTACTGGGAAAAAATTTTCCCCCTCTTTCCTATGTACTCTAACTTAAAGGTCATTTCCTCGAAAAAAAACTCTTCATGCTTTCGGGAACCCTACCTCCAAACCCCATAAAACCTGCAACATCTGCCAAAATTTGCCCCCTCCCCCACCCTGTCTTACCCCCTTTTCCAAATCCATAAATCCCACAAAGCCCTTTTTAAACCCCCCCTTATCTAAATACTGTTCATTTTATATTTTTTCGGGGGTTAAAACCCAACCTGGTCCACACACCCCTTTTCCCTTTCCTAAAGCCGCCCTTGTTCATCTGCAAACCCTTTCTCAGTCTTTTTTTTAATTTTTTTCAATAATAATTTTAACCATACACTTTACCGGTAAAATCAACGATTTTACCCCCCTAAAAATTTTTGCACTCTCTTTGCCCCTTTCCCAAACATTTTTTTAAATAATTGCACCAACCACCCAAAAAACATATCCCCACCTTTTTTTTAAACTTTTATCTTTATCCCATAAAACCCGGCCCCTTTACCCCCTTTCTTTTTTCCCTACTGCCTCACGAAAATTCTCCCCACACTCCCCAACTGGCTCTTCCTCACTCCTACAAGATGTTTTTCCTCCTTGCCCTATACACGAAATCACAGCTTCCCTATCTTCATCAACATTTAACAATTCCTCAAAATATTCCCTCCATCTTCCCAATACCTCTAACTCTCCATTTAATAACTCTCCTCTCCTATTTTTAACTGACAAATCCATTTGTTCTCTAGGCTTCCTTAACTTGTTAATCTCACTCCAAAACTTTTCTTATTTTCAACAAAATTTGTTGATAACATCTCACCCACTCTCTCATTTGCTCTCTTTTTACATTGCTTCACCACTCTCTTAACTCTCTCTTTTTCTCCATATACTCTTCCCTCCTGCATATATATATATATATATATATATATATATATATTATATATATATATATAATATATATATAATATATATATATATATATATATATATATATATATATATATATATATATATAATGGTGGGATACGGCTGGTTTGTTGAAAGAAAGAAAGATATACATATATACATGTTTATATAAAACTCAATTTACAATGATTGTTTATTTACAAACAAATACTCTTCAACGCGTAATTTTGACGAATTGTTTAATATATAATTTTGACATGCAGTTGAATATGCAATATTTCCCGTGAGTATTGTGCAATCATTGTGATATGTTGCTCTAAATGTGCAATGATTTGTGATTCAGAATTTTCTTATTTCCCGTCAATGTATCGCAGAGTTACGCAATAAGAAATATTGTTGCAATATATCATAGGATATTGGGCTATTTTATAGATATATTTTACGCCTGGGAAAAGTCTGTGTTATGTGAGGTGTTGGTAGAAAAGTCTGTGTTGATAGTTGAGGTGTTGGTAGAAAAGTCTGTGTTGATAGTTGAGGTGTTGGTAGAAAAGTCTGTGTTGATAGTTGAGGTGTTGGTACAAAAGTCTGTGTTAATAGGTGAGGTGTTGGTACAAAAGTCTGTTGATAGCTGATGTGTTGGTACAAAAGTCTGTGTTGATATGTGAGGTATTTGTACAAAAGTCTGTGATAATAGTTAAGGTGTTGGAACAAAAGTGTGTTGATAGGTAAGGTGTTATTACAAAAGTCGTGTTGATAAGAGAGGTGTTGGTACAAATGTGTCTGAAGTGACACTCTCCCTCACTCCTCCCCTGTCATCTCTCTCCTCTTAAAGCATCTCACCCTCAGGTTCTCCCCCCTCTTCTCTCTCCCTCAGCCTCTCACCACACGGAGGAACGAGCATGAACGGTCGAGGAAGGCGATTAAGGACGCGTGGCACAAGGAACTGAAGAGAGTCACGGAGGCTGTCTCTAATCTCAAGAAGTCCAAGGTTATCTACGTTCAGAGACAACAGGTATGAGAGAGAGAAGCGATGAACCTGTATGGGTCAGTCAGCACTAGTAGCCAAGACTCGATCCTCCTTCTCTTAAGAGACACTCATGCTAACTAGATGTTTACATCTGTTAAGTAATGTTGACACTCGTGCTAATTAGATGTTTACATCTGTATAAGCAATGTTGACACTCGTGCTAATTAGATGTTTACATCTGTTAAGTAATGTTGACACTCGTGCTAATTAGATGTTTACATCTGTTAAGTAATGTTGACACTCGTGCTAATTAGATGTTTACATCTGTTAAGTAATGTTGACACTCGTGCTAATTAGATGTTTACATCTGTTAAGTAATGTTGACACTCGTGCTAATTAGATGTTTACATCTGTTAAGTAATGTTGACACTCGTGCTAATTAGATGTTTACATCTGTTAAGTAATGTTGACACTCGTGCTAATTAGATGTTTACATCTGTTAAGTAATGTTGACACTCGTGCTAATTAGATGTTTACATCTGTATAAGCAATGTTGACACTCGTGCTAATTAGATGTTTACATCTGTTAAGTAATGTTGACACTCGTGCTAATTAGATGTTTACATCTGTTAAGTAATGTTGACACTCGTGCTAATTAGATGTTTACATCTGTATAAGCAATGTTGACACTCGTGCTAGCTGGATGTTATTAACATAGCACAATGTGCTATACAACTTAACAGAAGCAAATACTATTGTCACCCATATCGACAACTTAAAATTGTTAAATTCATGGAGAAGCGCTAAACCCGCACTTCACACACCTGGGGGAATGGCAGGAAATCCAATTCGATCCAAGGAAAAGCATCCCCAATTCCCCGGATCAAGAGCCCTTCAATGCAACAATTGTGATTCTCTGGTAACTTTCTGGCGCCTTCCCCTTGAAGTCACTTATCAGTTATACACACTTAGGTACACATCTCATAAGTGCATATACGCTAATCTGCGCCTCGCAGTGCAAATATACCAAGATATACACCCGTGAGTGTACATAAAAGGAGAAATATACACCTCAAGGAATATATATTCTTTTGAAAACAAGAGGAGTCCAATGTCGGTCTGAGGCGCCAAAATCACACAGTATGTAAATCACTTATTAAACGTGTTCTCTGTGCATGCTGACACCTACTTACCTCTTCTATGGTCGCCAGGTACCTTGCTGAGGATGCAACACACTAATGCATGCAGCACACAATACGACTGACAACACAAATTGCATTTATTTCTAAGCGACACAACACATCGCGACTCCCAGCGACGCCTCGTGGTCCAGCTGATGGCGACCCTACCTAGTCTACCCCCCTCACGAAAATCAGGATGTTTTCATTATTATTATTATTATTATTATTATTATTATTATTATTATTATTATTATTATTATTATTATTATTATTATTATTATTATTATTGTTATTATTAATCTGGTTAAGCCTGTATGGATGATTCAGAACAAGGACAGTTTTTGACATATAAGAACAGAGGAGCACCGCAAAGTTCCCTTGGGAAAAGAGATAGTGAGAGGCGTGTATCTCTCAGTCTACATACACTGAGAGGCGTGTACATCTCAGTTTATGCACACTGAGAGGCGTGTACATCTCAGTTTATGCACACTGAGAGGCGTGTACCTTTCAGTTTATGCACACTGAGAGGCGTGTACCTCTCAGTTTATGCACACTGAGAGGCGTGTACCTCTCAGTTTATACACACTGAGAGGCGTGTACCTCAGTTTATGCACACTGAGAGGCGTGTACCTCTCAGTTTATGCACACTGAGAGGCGTGTACCTCTCAGTTTATGCACACTGAGAGGCGTGTACCTCTCAGTTTATGCACACTGAGAGGCGTGTATCTCTCAGTCTACATACACTGAGAGGCGTGTATCTCTCAATTTATGTACACTGAGAGGCGTGTATGTCTCAGTCCACATACACTGAGAGGCGTGTATCTCTCAGTTTATGTACGCTGAGAGGCGTGTATCTCTCAGTTTAGGTACACTGAGAGGTTATCTCAGTTAGTACCTGAAGGTGTATCCTCAGTTTAGGTACGCTGAGAGGCGTGTATCTCTCAGTTTAGGTACACTGAGAGGCGTGTATCTCAGTTTAGGTACACTGAGAGGCGTGTATCTCTCAGTTTAGGTACACTGAGAGGCGTGTATCTCTCAGTTTAGGTACACTGAGAGGCGTGTTTCGCTCAGTTTATGTACACTGAGAGGCGTGTATCTCTCAATTTACACACACTGGAGAAATGTGAATTTCTCTGGGCATAAATCGTGCAGAAAATGACGCACTGTATCCCACTGGAAAATCAACTTATTTGATGGCTGATGTTGCTGAGAGAGACGAGGAAAAAATAACGGATATCTTACACCCCCATCACAGTTTCACCTCTATCGACCGACTCATTCCGTGTTGTAAAACAATATGACACCTATAAACCGCAGTCCATCTTCCCATCAAATAGCATTTTAATTTAATGGAAATATGCCTGAGTGTAGGGTTTCTTGCTTCGCGGACGAAGGATCGAGCCTTCAAAAACTACTTTACCCCAATGACACACAGGGTTTAGCGCTTCATATAAATTGGGAATAATATGGTACATGGTTCTTGCACTCCCGTCTCTTTTATTTTTGACAATAAGAGTCAGGCTCTCAAAATCGGTCTCATGGGATCCACAACACAAACATTGAAGGTATGAGAAAGAGGAGAGAAGTCAATACAGCTCTTGTTTATAGGGCCGAGTTATTGCTTTGTCGTGCGGCTGGCAGTGAGGTTGTTTTGCAGCTGGCAGTGAGGTTGTTGTGCGGCTGGCAGTGAGGTTGTTGTGCGGCTGGCAGTGAGGTTGTTGTGCGGCTGGCAGTGAGGTTGTTGTGCGGCTGGCAGTGAGGCTGTTGTGTGGCTGGCAGTGCTTTTTTATACATCTATTTTACAGGCTAAGAGCTATTATCCTACATCAGCTGTTGTGCAGCTGGTAGATATGTTGTCGTGCGGCTGGCAGTGAGGTTGTCGTCAGACCGGCAGTGAGGTTATCGTGCGTCTGGCATAAGATTATCGTACGTCTGGCAGCAAGGCAACATGTGTTAATAATTCCTCTGACACTTTTATTTAAAAAAAAAAATTAATATATTTTTTTATTTGCAAGAGGAGTGCTGCCGCACTGATGAAAAACTACACTCATCCATTGTCATATTTCTCGTGAATCAAATTCTCTCTTTCTTACTTAACTTACTTTCTCTCTGTCTCTTTCTGTCTCTCTGTCTCTCTCTCTCTCACAGACACAACCATTGATAAGTCACTGGGAAAACACGATATAATTTTCTCCCAATACTGTTATATGGTAATATATTTCTTCTGGTGGTTCATCTCCAGGAGGTTATCAAGGCCCGGGAGATGGTGTCCCGCGCTGACAACACTGAAGCACTGGAGAAACTGGAAAGAAAACGAGATGAGGCGCTCCAGAAGGTGAGCGGAGACTCTCTTAAATCTTGTCTGAACTTATAATTATGCGAAACTGGCATTTTCAATGTCCTATCCTCTATATTATTAATATTGTTTGTATATTCCTACTACTACTACTACTACTACTACTACTACTTCTGCTATTACTAATACTACTATTATTACTACTGCTACTGCTACTACTACTATTACTACTACTACTGTTACTACTATTACTACTACTACTATTGTTGCTCCTACTCCTATTTCTCCTGTTACTATTACTACTAATCCTGCTACTACTGCTATTACTGCTACTACTCCTGCTGCTACTCCTACCACTATTACTACTACTACTCCTGCTACAACGACTACTGTTGCAGGCACGGGAGGCAGAGGTATGGTACAAGGCGTGTGTGAGTGAAGCCAACGAGCGCCACGCCTCCTTACTCAGAGTGAAGCGTGATGTCCTGGTGCAGGCGCGCGAGCTCATCTTGCAGTGTGACCAGACCATGAAGGCCGTCACTGTGGCTTATTTCCAGCTACAGCACACTGTAGCAGCGCCGGCACCCGTTCAGGTAGGTATGGTAACACTGTAGCAGCATCACCATTTGTCTAGTAGGTCTGGTAACACTGTAGCAGCGCCAGCACCCGTCCAGGTAAGCATGGCATCACTGTAGCAGCGCTGACACCGGTCTAGATAGATCTGGTAACACTGTAGTAATATTAGTACTCATCTAGGTGAGTCTGGTAACTCTATAGTAACACCAGCACCCGTCTAGGTAGCTCAGGTAACACTGTATTAGCACCAACCCTCGTCTAGGTGGATCTGGTATCACTGTAGTAACACCACCAACCGTCTAGGTAGCTCTGGTAACATTAGTAACACCAACACTCATTTAGGTAGCTCTGGTAACACTAGTAACACCAGCACTCATCTAGGTAGCTCTGGTAACATTAGTAACACCAACACTCATTTAGGTAGCTCTGGTAACACTAGTAACACCAGCACTCATCTAGGTAGCTCTGGTAACACTAGTAACACCAGCACTCATCTAGGTAGCTCTGGTAACATTAGTAACACCAACACTCATTTAGGTAGCTCTGGTAACACTAGTAACACCAGCACTCATCTAGGTAGCTCTGGTAACACTAGTAACACCAGCACTCATCTAGGTAGCTCTGGTAACACTAGTAACACCAGGACTCATCTAGGTAAGTCTGGTAACACTAGTAACACCAGCTCTCATCTAGGTAGCTCTGGTAACACTAGTAACACCAGCACTCATCTAGGTAAGTCTGGAAACACTAGTAACACCAGCACTCATCTAGGTAAGTCTGGTAACACTAGTAACACCAGAACTCATCTAGGTAGCTCTGGTAACATTAGTAACACCAACACTCATTTAGGTAGCTCTGGTAACACTAGTAACACCAGCACTCATCTAGGTAGCTCTGGTAACATTAGTAACACCAACACTCATTTAGGTAGCTCTGGTAACACTAGTAACACCAGCACTCATCTAGGTAGCTCTGGTAACACTAGTAACACCAGGACTCATCTAGGTAAGTCTGGTAACACTAGTAACACCAGCACTCATCTAGGTAAGTCTGGTAACACTAGTAACACCAGCACTCATCTAGGTAAGTCTGGTAACATTAGTAACACCAGCACTCATCTAGGTAGCTCTGGTAACACTAGTAACACCAGGACTCATCTAGGTAAGTCTGGTAACACTAGTAACACCAGCTCTCATCTAGGTAGCTCTGGTAACACTAGTAACACCAGCTCTCATCTACGTAGCTCTGGTAACACTAGTAACACCAGCACTCATCTAGGTAAGTCTGGTAACACTAGTAACACCAGCACTCATCTAGGTAAGTCTGGTAACACTAGTAACACCAGCTCTCATCTACGTAGCTCTGGTAACAATAGTAACACCAGCACTCATCTAGGTAAGTCTGGTAACACTAGTAACACCAGCACTCATCTAGGTAAGTCTGGTAACACTAGTAACACCAGCACTCATCTAGGTAAGTCTGGTAACACTAGTAACACCAGCACTCATCTAGGTAGCTCTGGTAACACTAGTAACACCAGCACTCATCTAGGTAGCTCTGGTAACACTAGTAACACCAGCACTCATCTAGGTAGCTCTGGTAACACTAGTAACACCAGCACTCATCTAGGTAAGTCTGGTAACACTAGTAACACCAGCACTCATCTAGGTAGCTCTGGTAACACTAGTAACACAGGACTCATCTAGGTAAGTCTGGTAACACTAGTAACACCAGCACTCATCTAGGTAAGTCTGGTAACACTAGTAACACCAGCACTCATCTAGGTAAGTCTGGTAACAATAGTAACACCAGCACTCATCTAGGTAGCTCTGGTAACACTAGTAACACCAGACTCATCTAGGTAAGTCTGGTAACACTAGTAACACCAGCACTCATCTAGGTAGCTCTGGTAACACTAGTAACACCAGCACTCATCTAGGTAAGTCTGGTAACACTAGTAACACCAGCACTCATCTAGGTAGCTCTGGTAACACTAGTAACACCAGCACTATCTAGGTAGCTCTGGTAACACTAGTAACACCAGGACTCATCTAGGTAAGTCTGGTAACACTAGTAACACCAGCACTCATCTAGGTAAGTCTGGTAACACTAGTAACACCAGCACTCATCTAGGTAGCTCTGGTAACACTAGTAACACCAGCACTCATCTAGGTAGCTCTGGTAACACTAGTAACACCAGCACTCATCTAGGTAGCTCTGGTAACACTAGTAACACCAGCTCTCATCTAGGTAGCTCTGGTAACACTAGTAACACCAGGACTCATCTAGGTAAGTCTGGTAACACTAGTAACACCAGCACTCATCTAGGTAGCTCTGGTAACACTAGTAACACCAGCACTCATCTAGGTAGCTCTGGTAACACTAGTAACACCAGCACTCATCTAGGTAGCTCTGGTAACACTAGTAACACCAGGACTCATCTAGGTAAGTCTGGTAACACTAGTAACACCAGCACTCATCTAGGTAAGTCTGGTAACACTAGTAACACCAGCACTCATCTAGGTAGCTCTGGTAACACTAGTAACACCACCACTCATCTAGGTAGCTCTGGTAACACTAGTAACACCAGGACTCATCTAGGTAAGTCTGGTAACACTAGTAACACCAGCACTCATCTAGGTAAGTCTGGTAACACTAGTAACACCAGCACTCATCTAGGTAGCTCTGGTAACACTAGTAACACCAGCACTCATCTAGGTAGCTCTGGTAACACTAGTAACACCAGGACTCATCTAGGTAAGTCTGGTAACACTAGTAACACCAGCACTCATCTAGGTAAGTCTGGTAACACTAGTAACACCAGCACTCATCTAGGTAGCTCTGGTAACACTAGTAACACCAGCACTCATCTAGGTAGCTCTGGTAACACTAGTAACACCAGCACTCATCTAGGTAGCTCTGGTAACACTAGTAACACCAGCTCTCATCTAGGTAGCTCTGGTAACACTAGTAACACCAGGACTCATCTAGGTAAGTCTGGTAACACTAGTAACACCAGCACTCATCTAGGTAGCTCTGGTAACACTAGTAACACCAGCACTCATCTAGGTAGCTCTGGTAACACTAGTAACACCAGCACTCATCTAGGTAGCTCTGGTAACACTAGTAACACCAGGACTCATCTAGGTAAGTCTGGTAACACTAGTAACACCAGCACTCATCTAGGTAAGTCTGGTAACACTAGTAACACCAGCACTCATCTAGGTAGCTCTGGTAACACTAGTAACACCAGCACTCATCTAGGTAGCTCTGGTAACACTAGTAACACCAGCACTCATCTAGGTAAGTCTGGTAACACTAGTAACACCAGCACTCATCTAGGTAGCTCTGGTAACACTAGTAACACCAGCACTCATCTAGGTAGCTCTGGTAACACTAGTAACACCAGCACTCATCTAGGTAGCTCTGGTAACACTAGTAACACCAGGACTCATCTAGGTAAGTCTGGTAACACTAGTAACACCAGCACTCATCTAGGTAAGTCTGGTAACACTAGTAACACCAGCACTCATCTAGGTAAGTCTGGTAACACTAGTAACACCAGCACTCATCTAGGTAAGTCTGGTAACACTAGTAACACCAGCACTCATCTAGGTAGCTCTGGTAACACTAGTAACACCAGCTCTCATCTAGGTAGCTCTGGTAACACTAGTAACACCAGGACTCATCTAGGTAAGTCTGGTAACACTAGTACCACCAGCTCTCATCTAGGTAGCTCTGGTAACACTAGTAACACCAGCACTCATCTAGGTAAGTCTGGTAACACTAGTAACACCAGCACTCATCTAGGTAAGTCTGGTAACACTAGTAACACCAGCACTCATCTAGGTAAGTCTGGTAACACTAGTAACACCAGCACTCATCTAGGTAAGTCTGGTAACACTAGTAACACCAGCACTCATCTAGGTAGCTCTGGTAACACTAGTAACACCAGCTCTCATCTAGGTAGCTCTGGTAACACTAGTAACACCAGGACTCATCTAGGTAAGTCTGGTAACACTAGTAACACCAGCTCTCATCTAGGTAGCTCTGGTAACACTAGTAACACCAGCACTCATATAGGTAAGTCTGGTAACACTAGTAACACCAGCACTCATCTAGGTAAGTCTGGTAACACTAGTAACACCAGCACTCATCTAGGTAGCTCTGGTAACACTAGTAACACCAGCACTCATCTAGGTAAGTCTGGTAACACTAGTACACCAGCACTCATCTAGGTAGCTCTGGTAACACTAGTAACACCAGCACTCATCTAGGTAGCTCTGGTAACACTAGTAACACCAGCACTCATCTAGGTAGCTCTGGTAACACTAGTAACACCAGCACTCATCTAGGTAAGTCTGGTAACACTAGTAACACCAGCACTCATCTAGGTAGCTCTGGTAACACTAGTAACACCAGCACTCATCTAGGTAAGTCTGGTAACACTAGTAACACCAGCACTCATCTAGGTAAGTCTGGTAACACTAGTAACACCAGCACTCATCTAGGTAGCTCTGGTAACACTAGTAACACCAGCACTCATCTAGGAAAGTCTGGTAACACTAGTAACACCAGCACTCATCTAGGTAAGTCTGGTAACACTAGTAACACCAGCACTCATCTAGGTAGCTCTGGTAACACTAGTAACACCAGCACTCATCTAGGTAAGTCTGGTAACACTAGTAACACCAGCACTCATCTAGGTAAGTCTGGTAACACTAGTAACACCAGCACTCATCTAGGTAGCTCTGGTAACACTAGTAACACCAGCACTCATCTAGGTAAGTCTGGTAACACTAGTAACACCAGCACTCATCTAGGTAAGTCTGGTAACACTAGTAACACCAGCACTCATCTAGGTAAGTCTGATAACATAAGGGTCATTAAGGCTGCATGTTACCTGCTCACAACCTGTCAAGAATACTTCATCACTTAAAATAAGACTTAGAGAAATTCTCACTTTGAGATACAATTACATATTTCTCACTGTATATACACTGGGAGATACAAATACATATTTCTCACTGTATATACACTGGGAGATACAAATACATATTTCTCACTGTATATACACTGGGAGATACAAATACATATTTCTCACTGTATATACACTGGGAGATACAAATACATATTTCTCACTGTATATACACTGAGATCAAATACATATTTCTCACTGTATATACACTGAGAGATACAAATACATATTTCTCACTGTATATACACTGAGAGATACAAATACATATTTCTCACTGTATATACACTGAGAGATACAAATACATATTTCTCACTGTATATACACTGTGAGATACAAATACATATTTCTCACTATATATACATTGTGAGATACAAATACATATTTCTCACTGTATATACACTGGGAGATACAAATACATATTTCTCACTGTATATACACTGGGAGATACAAATACATATTTCTCACTGTATATACACTGAGAGATACAAATACATATTTATCAGTGTATATGAAGATTGAGACACTCATGCAGCATATGGGAATCTTTATTCAGGAAACGTTTCGCCACACAGTGGCTTCATCAGTCCAATACAAAGAGGAGGGCGTAAGGAGAGGAGGAGAATGAGGTAATCAGTCCCTCAACCTGGAGTCGATGTGATCAGTCCATCAATCTTGTAGAATGTACAGCATAGGGCCGTAGACGTGGCTTATATACTGTAGTGAGGTGACGTGAAGCAGATGGAGGCGGGGTCATAGTGGTACCATCCACTAGTCGAAGTAGGTCTTCGTCCAAAGGTTGAACAAGTGTTGAAGAATTCTTTGTAACAAGATCCCATGATGCTGCAGTGTCTGACAGTTGTGATGAATGGTTTGAAAAACCGACAAGTTGAAGATTGAGACACTCATGCAGCATATGCAGCATGTGTCTCAATCTTCAACTTGTCGGTTTTTCAAACCATTCATCACAACTGTCAGACACTGCAGCATCATGGGATATTGTTACAAAGAATTCTTCAACACTTGTTCAACCTTTGGACGAAGACCTACTTCGACTAGTGGATGATACCACTATGACCCCGCCTCCATCTGCTTCACGTCACCTCACTACAGTATATAAGCCACGTCTACGGCCCTATGCTGTACATTCTACAAGATTGATGGACTGATCACATCGACTCCAGGTTGAGGGACTGATTACCTCATTCTCCTCCTCTCCTTACGCCCTCCTCTTTGTATTGGACTGATGAAGCCACTGTGTGGCGAAACGTTTCCTGAATAAAGATTCCCATATGCTGCATGAGTGTCTCAATCTTCAACTTGTCGGTTTTTCAAACCATTCATCACATCAGTGTATATACACTAAGACATACAAATACACATTTATCAGTGTATATACACTGAGAAACAAACATATCTTAGCGTATATACATGCTGAGAGATAGATACCTATTTCTGATATATATACCTACGCAATATCTGCTCCGCTGCCACACCAATCTCTACCGTATTTTCCTCACTGACGCTAAACTTACCCGTATATTAATAAATTTTTATGATATATAAATTAATTCTGTATAGTGTTATTACCTGAAAGTGTTCAGAACCGGAAACACTAATACGTAAGGAAACGAACTAGCGCAAGGATTGCTGTCAAGGGGCGGGAAAAAGCTCTTACGGATTTAGCGCATCTCAATGAATATATTAATTTACATGATTTCAATAGCAGGATAGTCATTGGATGATTGATGGTGAATGTGTTTCTTTTTTTTTCCATGTCTCCCTACTTCGGTGGGAGACGGATGGTGTGTTAAAAATAATTCTCGCACTGGAGGTTCCAGGGTAATGGCAGCGAACTGTTTGATGTTATTGTTCTTGTTTATTCTGATTGTTCTCAATGTTGTTGTGACATATTTCTGAAAGACTGCCACTGAGGTCATGGTATGGACTAATTAATGTAGTAACTGATGTTTACTGGTGTGTGTGTGGTGTGTGTGTGTGTGTGTGTGTGTGTGTGTGTGTGTGTGTGTGTGTATGCTGGTGTTTATACTGTATCTAATATTCTTATGATATCTTTTTCTTCTTCCTCTAATCTATTAATTTCCCGTATGCTTAGCTGGCTCACCTCTTCCTTCACTTCCTCTTGTTTTCTCCTCTAATTCCTCGACGAATATCTCCTAGAGCCTTCTATTTAGTACTTTACCTGCATCTTTATCATCTCTTACTTTAATCTCCCTTCTAACGTGGCTATACATAATTTCTGCTTTGTCCTTCAATGTTATGCAGTTATCGACTTGTTTCTTTGTTTTTTGAGATCTACTTAGTTTCCTGTTTTCTGCTGTCCTCCTGCTTCCGTATGTTATCCATGCTCACTTTCTCCTAGCCTTTCCAGCGCTACTTTTCTTTCATTTCTTTTCTCCAGTTTGTGTTTTCTTTCCTCCTTGCTGGTATAAAAGTTGTCTTTTGCTTCTTCGTGTATTTTAAGTTTCATTATCTATTGAGAATGTTGATATATATGTAAGTTACATCCGCATGTTAGAATATGTAGCACCCACACGGTATTAGGATGTGTATGAGAGCGAAGACCGACATACACAGGGTATAAAATGTGTATGATGTGTATGGACTGATTACATCATCTTCATTTCACTACTACACCTGCTGTCTCTGTATTTGACTGAAGAAGCCTACTGTGTAGGCGAAATGTTTCAACAATAAAGATACCCAAGTGCTGAACATGTGTCTTAATCCTCAACATGTCGGTGTTTTATACCATTATCAGCACAATACAAAATGTTTGTGTTATTTCTTATATTGTATTTCCTTCTATTTCTGCTTCCAAATGGACACCATCTTGGAATCCCCTCAATCATGTCAAGTTACTACTCACCAAAACCCTATTTTCAACAATTGGAGCTGGGCTCTTGGAGTTAAGCTGCCTTTCCTTTGATGAAGTTTGATTATCTTCCGCTCCTCAGGAGCTCCATGACCCTGACAACGTTGAGCATTTCTTTGCAAAATGCTAGAAATAATTTAATCGTGTGTAGAAATCACTAATGATCCACAGCTGCGGACATTGTGTGTGGTAGACATCACTGATCATCGTCTTGTACCCACAGCTGCAGACATTATGTGTAGCAAACATCACTGATCATCGTCTTGTACCCACAGCTGCAGACATTATGTGTGGCAAACATCACTGATCATCACCTTGTACCCACAGCTGCAGACATTATGTGTGGCAAACATCACTGATCATCACCTTGTACCCACAGCTGCAGACACTGTGTGTGGGTACACATCACTGATCATCACCTTGTACCCACAGCTGCAGACACTGTGTGAGAGTTCCCGTCTGTACGAGCCTGGGTCACAGTATATGGAGTTTGTGAAGCGTCTTGGTCCCTCTATGGTACAGGAGCAGCCGGAGGCTCCTTTCACCTTCCAGCCGTATACCCCCGGAGCCCAGGACCTGCCTCCCAACCACGACTCCACTGCTAATGGCTCCATGGCCTCCACCGACGACCTCCAAGGTGGGCTTCAAGAAGCATTCTCCTACTTAAGAACATAGCCTCAAGGGTAACGCATGTCACGCTCTACAGACGGAGGATCAAGCCTCCATTAACCCTAGATTTGAATGATCCTCTTGAGTACATATGTATTAATGCACCACGCAGAAACAATCGGGTATATACGGAGAAAGATCGCAGTCAGCAGGATTCGAACCCACGTCAGGGGCGTCGGCAAGGTTCCCCAAGTGACGCTCTACACCACTCGGCCACAGATGCCTCAAAATCCGGGCAGCCCCTGACGTGGGTTCGAATCCTACTGACTGCGATCTTTCTCTGCATATACTAGTTTGTTTCTGCGTAGTGCTTTAACATGATATATATTCCGAATATTTTTTAATTTGCAGAGTTAAACCAAGAGATTTAACTTGTTATATTATATTCACCTCTTTAAACTCTTTTTTGGTAAATTCAGATACTATTTCGATCCTTTTTTTTTTGGTAAATGCGATGGAAATAGTACCTGAATAGTACCTGAATAGTACCTAAATAGTACTAAAAAGGCCTTCATAGTACTTGCTACTCAGTTTTGGATGTTTTTTAAATTGAATTTACTAACCATTTACTAAAATTACACTAATTACAATAATTTTTTAAGTGAACTTACTGTATAATAATTCTGATTATCATGTGTCCGATCTCTACTCATATATATATAAAAATTATAGTTTAACATCTTAGATATAATCCGATTAATTCTAACTCCTTGATATTACAAAGTGACACATCACCTTGACACTTTAACCCCTTGACAGTCTAACTCTTTCCCAACTGTCAACTTGACGGCTGGAAGATTAATCACCTTAGCTACACAGCTAAGTCTGCTAAGAAATTCAACTTTTTTTTAGCATGTTAACTCTCTGGTTAGAGTGTTAACTTCTTGGCTAATCTGTTAACTCCTTCGACTAATTTATCCCGTATGTTTCCCTCATCTTCATCGCTCTCGTGGGTATCTATGGCCGTCATCGCAGCAGTGGGTCGACTACCAGGTCAGGGTGGAAGCGACACTGACAGTGTGGATTCCTCCCACTCGGCCAAGAGTGCGGACGCCTCACCCACCCACTCACCCCGCACGCCCACACGCCGCACCCACACCATCTCCTCGGGTGATGAGCTGGAGACTGACCCAGATAATGGTAAGATTTGGCAAGGTCGCCAAGGAGAGATAATTGAACTTTTTTTTGTGAGATTTTGCTCGGAATAATGAGTTTCTTGGTGGGCAGTGGCACTCACTGGGTAGTGGCACTCACTGGGTAGTGGCACTCACTGGGTAGTGGCACTCACTGGGTAGTGGCACTCACTGGGTAGTGGCACTCACTGGTAGTGCACTCACGGTAGTGGCACTCACTGGGTAGTGGCACTCACTGGGTAGTGGCACTCACTGGGTAGTGGCGCTCACTGGGTAGTGGCACTCACTGGGTAGTGGCACTCACTGGGTAGTGGCACTCACTGGGTAGTGGCACTCACTGGGTAGTGGCACTTACTGGGTAGTGACACTCACTGGGTAGTGGCACTCACTGGGTAGTGGCACTCACTGTGGGTAGTGGCATTCACTGGGTAGTGGCACTCACTGGGTAGTGGCACTCACTGGGTAGTGGCACTCACTGGGTAGTGGCACTCACTGGATAGTGCAGCTCACTGGGTAGTGCCACTCACTGGATAGTGCCGCTCACTGGGTAGTGCCACTCACTGGATAGTGCCACTCACTGGGTAGTGGCACTCACTGGGTAGTGGCACTCACTGGGTAGTGCTACTCACTGGGTAGTGTCACTCACTGGGTAGTGGCACTTACTGGGTAGTGCCACTCACTGGGTAGTGCCACTCATGCTGTGAGTGAACATACTGCTATACATAAAAATCTAAATAAAGCGTAAATGCACTTGTAAATAAAGCGTTGATGCACTTGTAAATAAAGCATAAATGCACTTGTAAATAAAGCGTAGATGCACTTGTAAATAAAGCGTAGATGCACTTGTAAATAAAGCATAGATGCACTTGTAAATAAAGCGTAGATGCACTTGTAAATAAAGCGTAGATGCACTTGTAAATAAAGCGTAGATGCACTTGTAAATAAAGCATAGATGCACTTGTAAATAAAGCGTAGATGCACTTGTAAATAAAGCGTAGATGCACTTGTAAATAAAGCGTAGATGCACTTGTAAATAAAGCGTAGATGCACTTGTAAATAAAGCGTAGATGCACTTGTAAATAAAGCCAGAGGGTAGGAGAGATAAAGAAAGCAGTATGATATACAGAAAGGAGGAATGTTTAGGAAGAAAGTAGGAAGTATTGTGGAGCAAGAAAGTCAGGAATCATTTGTGGGGAGAGACAGACAGACAAGATATACGAAATATGAAAAATATTTGGAAAATGTTGTGGAGCATCAGACTTGGATGGATGTTTGCAATTTCCTCTTTACAATTTTCTGTTTACCGTTTCCCCTTTGCAATTTTTATTTGCAATTTCATCTTTGAAATTTTCCGTTTGCGGTTTTCCTCTTTGCAATTTTGTCTTTCCAATTTCTCTCTGCAATTTTCCGTTTGCAAGTTCCTTTTTGCAATTTACTCTTGGCGATTTTCTGTTTGTAGTTTCCTCTTTGCAGATTTATGTTGCAGTTTTCTGTTTGCAGTTTTTTGTTTCCCATTTTCTCTTTGCAATCTTGTGTTTACAACTTCCTGTTTAACTTGGTTTAGATGAGACTCTGGGATTTAACGTGTCTTCTCAAGCGGCCGACCTGGTTTATCCACTCTTGTGTCTCCTCTTCAACTCTTCAGTGGAGTTCACTTCACAAAATGTAATCACCTAGGACATGGTTATTGGAAAAGTTTCTCTCCAATAGAACCTTAATCACTACTACAAGTTTTCAGTAAACATGTCCTGAGTGTTTTTAATTTAATACATATCAGTATCAAACAACTTTGTATCTGGAGACCACTTACTTTCTGTTGTTGTTCACTTCATTCCACTTAACTTCCTGCTTTCATGGACTTAAATTAAGTTGTATTGAACAACTGTCAATGAATAAACAGAAGGGTGGACGAGGGATTCGAACCGATGTACTGCTGAAGCTCCTGAGCCGAGGAAAGGAGTTCAGTTGGTTCCTGTGAGGGAATATACTACAGTAACAATGCACCACGCACAAACAGGCTGAGAAAGATCACCAGTAGGATTCGAAACCACGTCAGGAAGGCTGGCAAAAAACATGGCTTGTAAACAAGGCTACCCAGCTTATGAGGCATATGTGGCCGAGTGGTCTAGAGCGTCACTTGGGACCCAACCTTGCCAGCCTTCCTGGCTGAGGAGTATAATCCTATAAGTATTAGTTCCAATTCAATACTCTTGGGGGCCTGGATAGCCGAGACGATAGAGCGCCGGACTGTCAATCTGCAGACAGCGGTTCGAGCCCCCCTCGTCTTCAGCGTTCATCAGTGTAGTGTTAATAAGTGCATAGTGTCAATAAGTGTATAGTGTCAATAAGTGCCTAGTGTTAATAAGTAAGTGCCTAGTGCATAGTGTTAATAAGTGTATAGTGTCAATAAGTGCCTAGTGTTAATAAGTAAGTGCCTAGTGCATAGTGTTAATAAGTGTATAGTGTTATGAAGTGTATAGTGTTATTAAGTGTATGGTGCTAATAAGTGTATAGTGTTAAGTGTATAGTGTTGTGAAGTGTATGGTACTAAGTGTACAGTGTTAATCAGTATATAGTGTTAATCCAGGTTTGTTTTACTGTAGTCTTCTCTCGAAAAGAAACGTTTATCCTTGTGTATTCCATCTATTTCTTGGAGTATTATGTATGTTGTCATAATATTCCCTCTTCTAGCTCCTTCAACTTAGGTGCCAGTTTAAATGGAATCATTAGGACTTTGTCGATTTTCACCTGTTCTTGACTAGGTGGAGGGTTCCACACTGATGCTGTGTATTCAAGAATAAGACCATTCGGTCACAGATGTCCCTGTGGCCGAATGGTCTAGAGCGTCACTAGGGGAACCTTGCCAGACGACCCTGACGTGGATTTGAAGCCTGATGACTGCGATTTTTCTCAGTATATACCCGCCTGCTTCTGCGTCGTGCATTGATATATATAATCTTAATAGAAAATTATATTTTTTCATTGTATTCTCCACAGTGGAACCCACGTACAGACGACAGGTGATGAGCAAAGCTGCAGTCAGTCACACCTTCAGAAAACTGAAGACGCCCTCCAGGTGTCGTGAGTGTGACTCCTACGTCTACTTCCATGGCTACGAATGTGCTGAGGTAACTTCTCAAAATTATTATTATTATTATTGCTATTAATTATTAATTCATTATCACGTCATTATTAATTATCAACTTCATTATTATGTAATTACTCATCATCATCACCACCACCACCAGTGCAATTACTACCCTCACCACCGCTACAATCACCACCCTCACCACCGCTACAATCACCACCCTCATCACCACTACAATCACCACCCTCATCACCACTACAATCACCACCCTCACCACTACCACTAACCCACTACTCCCTGGCATCCAACAGTGTGGACTCGGGTGCCACAAGAAGTGCCTGGAGACGCTAGCTATCCAGTGTGGACACAAGCGGCTGCCCCGTAAAATGACGACCTTCGGTGTGGATCTCGCCCAGCACCTCAGCGAGACCAACACTTCGATTCCCCATCTCGTGGTCAAGTGCGTGGCAGAAATAGACACCAGAGGGAGCAAGATTAAGGTCAGTCCTTAAAGAATCATTAAGAAAATGTTTTGAAAAGGTATATGATTCAGGTATATGATTCAGGTATATGATTCTATAAGGAGAATAAATGACTCGATACCTTAAAGAGAGCTGGAAGTGAAGGCATACGCTTCAGATACCTTTATTTGGAGACGTTTCGGTCCTTAAACCTGGATTACTTCAAATACATGAGGTGTATGAGAAAAGAAGCTATTTGTGCATGTATGTGTGTATGGAGATGTATATCTCAGTTTGTATACACCGATAAGTGTGCATCTAATTGTAAATATACTGGGTGAGGTGTATTTTGCTTTGTATATACCGTATACCGGGAAGTGTTATTGTTGGTTTTATACATCGAGAAGTGTGTATATTGGTATTTATGCACCTAGATTTGTGTATATTGGTGTTTATATACCTAGAAGTATGTATATTAGCGCTTATACACCGAGAAGTGTATATATTGGTAATTATACACAGAAAAGTGGTATGTTGGTAATTATACACCTGGTGGTGTATATCTTTGTTTACGTGTACTCATACATATATACACATGATTATACATTGAAAGATTTATTTTAGTGCCCATTTGTGGCACTATGGCATTCCTGATATTAGTGCCTAGGTGGACTGCGTCCTTAATGACACTCGTACGGTTGATAGACTTCAATTAACCCTAACAACCTGCCTCATTACAGATGTACCGACCAATTATCGTGCAGCTGTATACAAAAGTTGAATTGAATTGTTCAGTATCTCATTATTTTTTCTGATATACGGATTTGTTTAGGAAATTTGTGGTGTTTGGTGAACCTTGTAAAGTCTGTCCTGGGGTAGCAGTGGGAGCAAATTTAAGCATATGTTTTTGTTGGTGAGTTTGGGTTCGAGGAGGACCTGCCTGGTATGGGTCAGTAGGTCTGCTGCAGTGTTCCTCCTACCCCCTCCCTCACACTCTCACTTGCCTAGAATTAACTCCCCCTTTCTCTTTATTCCTTTCACCTCCCTCTCCCTCTTTCTTCTTACGTTCGTTCACTATTAGCGCTGTCCACTTTCCTTACTCCACGGGAAAAAATACCCCCCTCCCCTCTTCATTAAATATCAGCCTGTATATGTTCACATACTCATAAACACACACAAACATACATCAATGTACCACGCAGAAACAGGCCGGTACATACAGAGAAAGATCGCAGTCAGCAGGATTCGAACCCACGACAGGGAGGCTGGCAAAGTTCCAAGGTGATGCTTTAGACCACTCGGCCATAGATGCATCTGTGGCCGAGTGGTCTAGAGCTTCACTTGGGGAACTTTGCCAGCCTCCCTCTCGTGGGTTCGAATCCTGCTGACTACGATATTTCTCTGTATATACCCCCTGTTTCTGCGTGGTATATATATATAATATATATATATATATATATATTATATATATTATATATATATATATATATATATATATATATATATATATATATATCCTAGGTAGTAGGTTGGTAGACAACAACCGCCCAGGGAGGTACTACAGTCCTGCCAAGTGAGTGTAAAACGAAAGCCTGTAATTGTTTTACATGATGGTAGGATTGCTGGTGTCCTTTTTGCTGTCTCATAAACATGCAAGATTTCAGGTACGTCTTGCTACTTCTACTTACACTTAGGTCACACTACACATACATGTGCAAGCACATATATACACACCCATCTGGGTTTTCTTTCTAGTTCTTGTCCTTGTTTATTTCCTCTTACCTCCATGGGGAAGTGGAACAGAATTCTTCCTCCGTAAGCCATGCGTGCTGTAAGAGGCGACTAAAATGCCGGGAGCAAGGGGCTAGTAACCCCTTCTCCTGTATATATTACTAAATGTAAAAGGAGAAACTTTCGTTTTTCATTTTGCGCCACCCTGCCTCGGTGGGATACGGCCGGTGTGTTGAAACAAAGAAGATATATATATATATGTCGTGCCGAATATGTAAAACTGGTCAATTAGCAAGAACTCATTTAAAATTAAGTCCTTTCTAAAATTTTCTCTTATACGTTTAAAGATATATTTTTTTCATTAATGTAAATGTAAAAATTTTTAATTTTGCTCCAAAAGAATCTTAGAAAACTTACCTAACCTTATTATAACAAGAACAATTTATTTTAGCCTAACCCAACTAAATATATTTTAGTTTTGTTTACAATAATTTAATACTAAACAAACACAGTGAAATATATTTTTTTCGTTAGGTTCAGAATGATTTTGGCGAAATTATTGCATACACAAATGTTCGCTTTTCCTATATGGCAAGATGAGCGTTGCTATTTAAGCCAAGATCGCAAGTTCTGCCTATTCGGCACGACATATATATATATATATATATATATATATATATATATATATATATATATATATAATATTATATATATATATATATATATATATATATATATATATATATATATATATATATATATATATATATATATATATATATAATTCTCGGTATTCTGTAATTATCAGCATTGTATGTACCCGCTCTATGAACTTCTATATTTTCATTCTGATTAAGGTTACCTTTTTGTCTTTTCTGAGCCTATTGATCAGATTTTTCTTCCTACTTATCTCTATTAATCCAAGTAATGGAAAGGACGGGGTGAGGAAGAATTACCGGAGGGGAAGATGAGTTGGCAATTGCAAGGAGTGGGAGGATCGATCCTTCATCCATTACTCGCGACCCTTGTCTCCATCCAGTCAGATTGTTGGTGGTCACTGAGCGTATGTGCTTCCGTCTAGCTGTATTGGTGCTCAGAGAGAGTGCTGGAAGGTGTTGATGTATTGGTGTTCATGTAGAGAGTGCTGGAAGGTGTTGATGTATTGGTGCTCAGATAGAGTGCAAGGAGGTCTTATATGCTCAGTTTGTTTAAAGTTCATAATTACTTCCCTAAATCCCTTTAGCTTTTAAACTTCCTGTGCCTCCTAAAATGTCCTTATTGTCAGTAAAGCTCCATAAGCCTCGTTGAATCCCCTTGCTGTCTTTATAAATCCTCTCCAGTCCACCTCAGTTGGTCACTATTGATCAGAGGTGACCCTTGGTAAGAAAATGCTCTTTCCAGAAAGAAGAATATCGTGACTGGAACAAGACGCAAATAACCCGCACTCTTACCTTCGTGTGTTAGTGTGTGACTAGTTTATGGTCCAAGTCAATCCTAAACGTCATCGTAACTTTCTCCCTGTGCGGGTTATTTGTGTACATTTCAAGAATAAACCTTTATTTAGTAACAGCGTTTCTTCCTTAAAGGTATTTTACCCTTTAATAGTCTGTAAATAATATCTTATTGCTATATTTGTCGGCAGTCCTGTCATTCCAATATAGTGCTGACCTTTGCTGAGGCCAGAAGAGGTCAAGTATTGTATAATACAAGAGGGTTCGTCCTCAGCTAGGACATTCAGTGATTCCCAGACGACTGTGACCACAGGCACTGAACTAGATTGAATGGTGTAGCCATTCAACTAGGATGAACGGTAGACGGGAGTAGAGTGTCATGACCCGGCTATGACACTTGGTCTTGCTATGACCGAGTCACTATACTCTCGGGTCGCGGCTGGGAAGTTAGACGGTGAAATTCTTGACGGAGGATCAAGCCTCCGGAGTTTCACACCCACACACATATAAGTACACAGTTCCTTGATAATGAGAGAAATAACGAAAGCGCTTGGAGGTTCACTACTTTTCATCAGTAGTTGTTTTGCACGTTCTGATATTACCTGTTTACTGTGATCTTATTGCATACAAGAACAAGTATTGAGACCTGGTTCTTCTCCTGGTATCAGGGCATCTATCGGGTGTCTGGCGTGAAGCACCGGGTGGAGAAGTTGTGTCAGGCCTTTGAGAACGGTGCCAACCTGGTCGACCTCACAGATCAACACCCCAACGTCATCGCTAACGTCCTAAAGCTGTACCTTCGTCAGCTACCCGAACCTCTGCTTTCCTTCAGGCTCTACCCGGAGTTCATCAGGTAAGGCATGTCAGTGACACTGGTCTCTAGTTTAATGCTGCCCGTCTGTCTTATTTCCTAAAAATTAGGACTACAGTACTTGCTGTCTTCCACACCTCAGTTAATTGCTCTGTTTTGATAGATTGCCGAAGATTGTTATTATGGACACACAGTTGTTATGGGTAAGTTAGGTGTCTACAGGAAGGGAAACATCACGTGACACTCAGATCATTGAGTTTAGCACGAGCAAGACACTCAACCTGCCCCACCATGAAGAATTAGACACATGTAGATGTTACGTCATCCAGTGGCTTTATCAGTACAAATTGATAAAGCCACTGGTTGGCGAAACGTCTACAATAAAGATACATAGATGTTTCATATGTGTCTAATTCTTCATCTTGTCGGTATTGTATTCCATTCACGTGTAACTACACCACCTTCACACGTACACATGTGTTAAGCTTCTTGCTATAAGAACAACACTACTGAACAGGTTATCGTAACAAGCAGCATTTTCTTGACACTCGTACATAAGTAATGATAACCACAAATTTTAAAGGGATTGACCTATAAGCCAGCTGAAGGTCTCGGCCAGATGACCAAAAACTCCAATGACGGTTCAACATATGACTAAGACCCGCGTCAGGGGACACTTATACTGTTTGCTGACGAACCTAACCTAACCTAACTTAACCTAACCTAACTCGTACCATAACTAGTCACATTCATAACTCCATCTATATAACGTCCATATTTTTATTCTAATTACAAGAGGAAGACATGGTATTCAACCTTATGCTTCAGTAATTTCAGACGCCCTTTATGACGTGTATAGTTTCTGGGAAAGGAATCTAACTCCCTGGGAGCTGGAGATATAATACTGCAAAGAGCTACTGAGAAACAAGACAAAAATATGTTGTGAATGTAAGAGGAATTAAGATTTACCTGTCAGGAAAAGCCTGGCATCAGACCGGGCTGGGAGAGCTGGTAGGTATTTCACAAGTATTAAAATGTTCACAAGACAGGAGAATCTGGCAAGTCTGCCAGCGTTCACGAGTGGAGTAAACTCACACGATTCAGGGAGATGGTGACAGTTTTGAGAGGCGTGTAAACCCCTGACTCCTTTGACCAACCCCAGCCACCACTCCTAGCCACTGCTCCCAGCCACCACTCCCAGCCACCACTCCCAGCCACCACTCCCAGCCACCACTCAACAAGGGGACGGGAAAAAATTCCGTCTACAGGGAGATGAAGCCAGGTGGCAGTTGTGCAACTGTTTGACAACTTACAAAACAGCAGTGGCAGTTTAAGCCTGGCTGTTGCATATGCTGGTTGTGTTAAATTTCACATGGGAATTTGAATCTCAAAGACATCCATGAATTGGGTTTATTGTCGGCGTTCCCAGCTAGAACGTCACTAAACGAATGTCAATACACAATACTAGATAGAACTTCAATAAACAGACGTTCAGTATACTGTCCTAGCAAGGACTTCAGTAAACAGACGTTCAATACACAGTCCAAGCCGATATAACCAAGGTACAACCCCAGAACGAGCACAAAACACACAGGTTATAGCTCAAGCTTCCACTAACACAACGTCGCCCCACAAAACCTGGTTCTCAGCGCCTCTACCGTCACACTGGAAATCTCCACTGAAGAAACGTTTGGCCTGTGCGGGCGATATGTCTTCACACTCGTCGGCAATGCGCTATTTCATCCTGTTGATCCCTCGAAAGTGTGTTCCTCGGTGTCCAACCTAAAGGACTTTCATTTGTTTCAGTGGCATGTCCTCAAAAAAAAGAAGAATCTGCCCCGGACGTTCGTACACCATTGAGCTGGAACAAACCGAATGGAAAGTAATGAAACGCCACTCGATAGCTCACTGCCTTGTTGCTCAGTTTGAAAAAAAAGGGATAATGGCAAGAAATCAATTGTTTATTTGTGCATCTAGAACATTACCCGGTGACTTGTGAGATGACTTACAATATATGGCTTAGATTGATTTGTTGATATTCATCGTGAAATAATAATAAGGAATCGGGAACTGTTTTCATTGCTTTGTGATGATTTTTAATAGTTCGGAAATATGTGATGATAACATACAACTTAATATTAATAGTAACAGAGTGAGAGACACAGTATAGAACTATATTTTGACGGAACTTTGCTATGTATAGTTCTGTTAAGTCATGACCTGATGAATCTATACAGTTTTGAAAGATGAATATTGCTGGGATTGTTCTGTCTTGAGGGAAGAAGAGAGATATAAAAAATTAGACATATGTACGACATCTGGGTATCTTTATTTGTAGACGTTCCATCATCCAGTGACTTTATCAATACAAAGACATAATGTGAAGAATGTTGAATTATATGCAAAAGATGAGGTAATCAGTCCCTCAGTCTTGGAGTTGTTGAAGAGCATCGTAGACTGAAGGACTGATTATCTCATCTTTATTATGTCCATGTATTGCACCGATAAAGTCACTGGTTGGTAAAACATCTACAATAAAGATACCCAGATGTTGTACATGTGTTTAGTTCTTCACTTTATCTGTACTGTAAACCATTCATCCAAATCTACACACTACCATATCAAGGCACTGAAGGGATGTTGGAAGAAATGTTTTCAAGTTGTGCACCACGGGAACGATAAGAGAACACTGTATCATCATCCGTGGTCCGAGACTTTTCAACGTACTACCAGCAGATGGATATATTGTTGAAATAAGCAGGAGTCTTCAGGAGGGAACTGTATCATTATCTCCAACAACAGTGCCTCCACCACCACCGCCACCACCACCACCATCACCACCACCGCCGCCGCCGCCACCACCACCACCGCCACCACCACCGCCACCGCCACCACCACCACCATCACCGCCGCCACCACCACCACCGCCACCACCACCGCCACCACCACCACCATCACCACCGCCAACGCCACCACCACCATCATCACCACCACCACCACCACCATCACCACCACCACCATCACCACCACCACCGCCACCACCACCACTACCGCCACCACCACCGCCACCACCGCCACCGCCACCACCGCCACCACCGCCACCGCCACCACCGCCACCACCGCCACCGCCACCACCGCCACCACCGCCACCCCTACCACCGCCACCACCGCCACCACCACCACCGCCGCCACCACCACCACCACCGCCACCACCACCACCGCCACCACCAACACCACCACCACCGCCACCACCGCCACCACCACCACCACCACCGCTACCACCGACACCATCACCACCGACACCACCACCACCACCACCAACACCACCACCACCACAACCATCACCAGCCCCCACTAATCTAGCCCTCATGAGCACTGGGAAATGCCTTCCCATTACAACAATCCCGATATTAATGCTGGTCGTTACTATAAATTCAGCTTAGTCAACCGTCCAGCATCTTAATTAAGTCGTTTATATGCCTTACTCAGCTCTAACCACCTCGTTTCTCCCAGTTGTTTCCCCTCTCACTTAATTATCATCAGTGTTTTTGTAGACAAGGTTCGTACAATGTTACTAACTTGACCGTCTTGCTGGACGGAGGATAAAGCCCGCACTGTTCCTGGCCTTCAACCCTCCTCCTTTAACCTTCCTATAAATATTTGGAAAAATAAGTTTGTTGCAGTTGAAAAATATTAATGTCATAAGACCAGATGTATGAATAATATAGTGCGTTGTGTTATGTCTTGTGTTACGTCTTGTGTTACGTCTTGTGTTATGTCTTGTGTTACGTATTGTGTTATGTCTTGTGTTACGTCTTGTGTTACGTCTTGTGTTACGTCTTGTGTTATGTCTTGTGTTACGTCTTGTGTTACGTCTTGTGTTACGTCTTGTGTTGTATTATGTCTTGTGTTACGTCTTGTGTTACGTCTTGTGTTACGTCTTGTGTTATGTCTTGTGTTTATCGTTACTTGTGTTACGTGTCTTGTGTTACGTCTTGTGTTATGTCTTGTGTTACGTCTTGTGTTATGTCTTGTGTTAGTCTTGTGTTACTTTGTGTTATGTCTGTGTATTTGTGTACGTCTTGTGTTAATCTTGTGTTAGTCTTGTGTTACGTCTTGTGTTACGTCTTGTGTTTATGTCTTGTGTTACGTCTTGTGTTACGTCTTGTGTGTAATGTCTTGTGTTATGTCTTGTGTTATGTCTTGTGTTACGTCTTGTGTTGTCTTGTGTTATGTCTTGTGTTTTATGTCTTGTGTTACGTCTGTGTGTTTATGTCTTGTGTTATGTCTTGTGTTAGTCTGTGTTATGTCTTGTGTTATGTCTTGTGTTATGTCTTGTGTTACGTCTTGTGTTGTCTTGTGTTATGTCTTGTGTTATGTCTTGTGTTACGTCTTGTGTTGTCTTGTGTTATGTACTTGTGTTATGTCTTGTGTTATGTCTTGTGTTACGTCTTGTGTTACGTCTTGTGTTATTGTCTTGTGTTATGTCTTGTGTTAGTCTTGTGTTCGTCTTGGTAGTCTTGTGTATGTCTTGTGTTATGTCTTGTGTTGTCTTGTGTTTATGTCTCGTGTTACGTTTCTTGTGTTACGTCTTGTGTATGTCTTGTGTTATGTCTTGTGTTACGTCTTGTGTTATCGTGGCTTGTGTTAGTCTTGTGTTATGTCTTGTGTTACGTCTTGTGTTGACTTGTGTTATGTATTGTGTTACGTCTTGTGTTACGTCTTGTGTTACGTCTTGTGTTGTCTTGTGTTATGTCTTGTGTTACTGTCTTGTGTTATGTCTTGTGTTACGTCTTGTGTTACGTCTTGTGTTGTCTTGTGTTATGTCTTGTGTTACGTCTTGTGTTATGTCTTGTGTTACGTCTTGTGTTACGTCTTGTGTTGTCTTGTGTTATGTCTTGTGTTGTCTTGTGTTACGTCTTGTGTTGTCTTGTGTTATGTCTTGTGTTATGTCTTGTGTTGTTTTGTGTTATGTCTTGTGTTGTCTTGTGTTATGTCTTGTGTTGTCTTGTGTTATGTCTTGTGTTGTCTTGTGTTATGTCTTGTGTTACGTCTTGTGTTATGTCTTGTGTTATGTCTTGTGTTATGTCTTGTGTTATGTCTTGTGTTATGTCTTGTGTTATGTCTTGTGTTATGTCTTGTGTTATGTCTTGTGTTATGTCTGTGTTATGTCTTGTGTTTGTCTTGGTTTTGTTTATGTCTATGTGTGTTGTCTTGTGTTATGTCTTGTGTTTGTCTTGTGTTATGTCTTGTGTTATGTCTTGTGTTGTCTTGTGTTATGTCTTGTGTTATGTCTTGTTGTTATGTCTTGTGTTTGTCTTGTGTTATGTCTTGTGTTATGTCTTGTGTTATGTCTTGTGTTAGTCTTGTGTTACGTGTCTTGTGTTATGTCTTGTGTTTATGTCTTGTGTTGTCTTGTGTTATGTCTTGTTGTTTGTTGTCTTGTGTTATGTCTTGTGTTATGTCTTGTGTTGTCTTGTGTTATGTCTTGTGTTATGTCTTGTCTTTTGTCTTGTGTTATGTCTTGTGTTATGTCTTGTGTTATGTCTTGTGTTATGTCTTGTGTTGTCTTGTGTTATGTCTTGTGTTATGTCTTGTGTTATGTCTTGTGTTTGTCTTGTGTTATGTCTTGTGTTAGTCTTGTGTTATGTCTTGTGTTATGTCTTGTGTTATGTCTTGTGTTATGTCTTGTGTTAGTCTTGTGTTTTATGTCTTGTGTTATTTCTTGTGTTATGTCTTGTGTTATGTCTTGTGTTATGTCTTGTGTTATGTCTTGTGTTCGTCTTGTGTTATGTCTTGTGTTATGTCTTGTGTTTGTCTTGTGTTTTTGTCTTGTGTTATGTCTTGTGTTATGTCTTGTGTTATGTCTGTGTTATGTCTTGTGTTATGTCTTGTGTTATGTCTTGTGTATGTCTTTGTTATGTCTAGTGTTATGTCTTGTGTTATGTCTTGTGTTATGTCTTGTGTTATGTCTTGTGTTATGTCTTGTGTTATGTCTTGTGTTATGTCTGTGTTATGTCTTGTGTTATGTCTTGTGTTATTCTTGTGTTAGTCTTGTTTATGTCTTGTGTTATGTCTTGTGTTATGTTCTAGTGTTATGTCTTGTGTTATGTCTTGTGTTATGTCTTGTGTTATGTCTATGTTTATGTCTTGTGTTATGTCTTGTGTTATATCTTGTGTTTTACGTTTCGTTTGTGTTATGTCTTGTGTTATATCTTGTGTATGCTTACTTTTGTCTTGTGTTATGTCTTGTGTTAGTCTGTGTTATTTATCGTGTTGTCTAGTGTTATATACTTGTTTATTTCGTGTAATCTGTGTTATATCCTGTTTATATGCTGTGTTATATCCTTGTTATATGTCTTGTTATATGCTGTATTATATTCTTGTTATATGCTGTCTCTGTGTTATATCTGTGTTATATGCTGTTTATTACTGTGTATATCTGTGTTATATATCTGTGTTATGATACTGTGTTATATCTGTGTTATATCTTGTTATATGCTGTGTTTATTCTTGTGTTATAATACTTGTTATATGCTGTTCTATTCTTGTTATATGCTGTGTTATATCTGTTTATATGCTGTTTATATGCTGTTATGTCTGTGTTATATCTGTGTGTTATGTCTGTGTGCTTACTGTGTATTGCTGTTATATACTGTAAATGTGCTGTGTTATATGCTGTTATAATATGTTATTGCTGTGTTAAATCTGTGTTATATAACTGTATATATGCTGTGTTATTCTATGTGTAATATACTGTGTTATATGCTGTGTTATACACTGTATAATATGCTGTGTTATATGCTGCATTATATACTATGTTATATGCTGTGTTATTTACTGTGTTATAAACTGTGTTATATGCTGTGTTATACACTGTATAATATGCTGTGTTATATGCAGCATTACATACTATGTTATATGCTGTGTTACGCTCTTACAGTGTTATTGTGGTACAAGGTCTCTGGTTGTACAGAGGTTGAACAAGGCGGCGGCAGCTCAGACAGGTACAAGTGGCGGGGACCGGATTTAATCCGTATCCACAGATGAATCCTGGAGTTTAATCCTCCTGCTCGGAAACGTTGTTCTTTTAGGTTTTTGTATTTTTTTTTACTCTATGTTAAGAACACTGAGAAAAATCTGACACTAAATTGCGAACGTGTGTTTTGGAACCTTATGTCGTTTTTCGTTCGTTTTTCGAATTGTCGTTTAATATTTATGTATTCTTGAGGTTAACGGTGCTGTTCCTTGTGGTTATTGGTTAAATTTGAGAAAGAAGCGATATTCTAGCCAAGCCAAGGTGAACCAAACCTAACCTAACCTAACCTAACTTAACCTAACCTAACCTAACCTAACCTAACTTAACCTAACCTAACCTAACCTAACTTAACCTAACCTAACCTAACCTAACCTAACCTAACCTAACTTAACCTAACCTAACCTAACTTAACCTAACCTAACCTAACCTAACTTAACCTAACCTTACCTAACCTAACCTAAGTTACCCTAACCTAACCTAACCTAACCTTACCTAACCTAACCTAACCTAACCTAACCTGACCTAACCTTACCTAACCTAACCTAACCTAACCTAACCAAATCGACCCAAGTGAAACCTTACCTAGAGTAGCTTGAGTTGCCTCATTATAGACACCTGCAACACATGTGAGTGAACAACATGCGTGGATCCTTCTGCAGAATCGCCAAGGAATGTCCTACAGGAGGCGGGGGAGAGTGCGCACGCACGACGGAGGAACTGAAGGAGTTAGTGAGGCGACTGCCTCGCCACCACCTCAACTGCCTCGCCTTGCTCATGCACCACCTGCACCGTGTCACCTTACACGCTCCTGTCAACAACATGCCTTCCTCTAACTTAGGTGAGTAGGTGTTCTCTAAGTCAGGTGTGTGGGAGGTGTTCTCTAAGTTAGGTGTGTGGGACGGGGTTATCTAAGTTAGGCGTGTGGGTGGTGTTATCTAAGTTAGGTGTGGGAGGTGTTGTTAGGTGAGTGGGGCTTTTTTTTTCTCCTAACTTTGGAGAGTGGGAAGTGTTCTCTAACACAGGGAATGAGCGAGGGAGAATATGGCACTTTCTCATTCTCTCCTGCTTCCTATTCTTTCCTCTGCGTCTTTTCCCTCGGTGAGTTCTCCTCCCGTTCCTCCTCCAGGTATTGTCTTCGGCCCCACGTTACTACGGACGTCAGAGGGATCAGCGTCTCTCAGCTCCCTGGTGGACACAGTACATCAGACCAGGGCCATCGAGCTTCTCATTATGTTTGCTTACGAAATCTTCGGCCAACCTGAACAGTACCAGGTGAGTGGGTTAACTTCTGTGAATGATATCCTCACAGGCTTCTGTGAGTCTTGTCTTCCCTGGTCTAGTTGTGACATTCGAGTCTCGTGTCTGGGACGGCTGTGGGCCAAGCCTTGGAAGGAAGTTCAAACCTCTATTGATCGAACCCTTCTCTCTTGTGTGTGTTCTTGCTTGCTTTATTGTGTGTGTGTGTGTACTCGCCTAGTTGTGGTTACAGACATCGAGTACAGAGCTTCATCAAGTCAGAGACTTGCAAATCATTCCAATTACACTTGCTTTGCACCCTGTGTTTTTTTTCTTCACTATTATTACGGTAGCACACCTGGAAGCTAGCTAAGTCACTGTTGTCTTCCTGCCAGGTACCGTCGGTCACACCAGCCACTCGTACTCACAGACTGGATGAGGTACTCAAGCACTCTACACCAAGGTTAGTTTACTTACCGTGTACCTTACAGTGCTAGTTACTTACCGTGTACCTTACAAGGGAGAGAGGGACAGATCGCAGTCATCAGGATTCGAACCCACGACAGGGAGACTGTCAAGGTTCCCTAAGTGACGCTCTATACCACTTGGCCACAGATGTCGAGTGGTGTACAACGTCACTCGGGGAACCTTACCAGTCTCCCTGTCGTGGGTTCGAATCCTGCTGACTGCGATGTTTCTCTGTATATACTCGCCTTTTTCTGCGCGATGCATGAGAAAAGCTACTCTTATCACTTAACTAAGTTGAGTCCTACTTGCCTATGAGCAGCTAACATCAGGTTCATTTGCACGCAATGATCATGTCATCTCACACGCCGTTTATATGTGTGTGTATACTATTGGAGTCTAGAGAACACTAACTAGTAAATTGTGTGGCTGTTGCAGCAGGCAGACGAGTACACACACCAGCAGTAGCAGTAGCAGTAGCAGCAGTAGCGGTGTGGTCAACGTCACCATCAGCGGGTACAAGCGACCACCACCAGAGTTGGTGGGGCTGGCTGAGGATGCTGCATCTTCCAGCATCACGGCTCAGCATCACGCTCTCAAGGAGAGGAAAGATTCCGATGTATTAGGTTAGTATTGGTAACTCGTACTGAATATGTACTGAAATTCACAAATATTGACAACGGGAGTTTGGTGCAAAAACTGGCAGGCCTACCAGGCCTATCAGTTTTTACACCACTATGGGTTGAAGCCTCGTTCTGTGATTTGCTTGAAATCGTCATATTAAAATTTCGTGAGGCAGGATTAGATTACGTCTCGACAATATTCAATACAGACAACATGAGTTAGATACGCAAGAACGTTAATTAAAATTAACAACGGGAGTTGAATGTGTGTGAACGTAAGTATTGACAACGGAAGTTGAAGGTATATAAATATTTATTATATTGACAACATGAATGGAATAAGTGGGCTCGTTTATTTAGTTTCGTAATGACATATATTGTGCATTTTACATGAGGGTCGTAATGAAATTCATGTATAATTTATTACAGTGCTGCGAAGTTTTGTAAAATATATGTTGGTGCATATAGAATTGTGTCCATTCTTTTGTAAGCTGGAGGGATGTGTTTACGTCGTTGCTGCTTGTAAAAGTGTGTTGCTTTATAGTTCATTATGGAGTTGCCCAGGATACCTCTCTTCTTCACCACTCTGATGTTATTAGTGTTGTCTTCTCTCCCTGTGATTCATCTCCGTGTTTATAAGTTGTGTGTGGGTTCTTGCCATGGTGCTTGCCATGGTGCTTGTCATGGTGCTTGTCATGGTGCTTGTCATGGTGCTTGCCATGGTGCTTGTCATGGTGCTTGCCATGGTGCTTGTCATGGTGCTTGCCATGGTGCTTGCCATGGTGCTTGTCATGGTGCTTGTCATGGTGCTTGCCATGGTGCTTGCCATGGTGCTTGCCATGGTACTTGCCATGGTGCTTGCCATGGTGCTTGCCATGGTGCTTGCCATGGTGCTTGCCATGGTGCTTGCCATGGTGCTTGTGTAACATTTGCATATCCTAATATAATAAAATATTTCGCCAGCCAGTGACTCATTCTTCAAAACCATTACATTACAGTATTTTCGTTACATGGGTTGATTCACAGCTCCTGGCCCCGTGAGGTCTATGGTAGTTGAAACTATTTACTATGTCAAACACTCTGCATACGATACAGATCCTGGAACAAAAGCTTTTCCTCGGAGCTTTGTGGCACATTCTTAGTTCTAGTTTCTGTGTACCTTTGCTTCTGGCGAACTCTTTTCAAATAGTTCGTCTCTATTCACCCTGTCAGTTTCCCAGAGTATTTTCTACAACGTGAATATGTCTCCTCTGGTTCTCCTGTCTTCAAGGTGGTCAGTCAACCAGGCTGTGATGGATATGTGGAACCTTCAGCAGCAACAGCCTGGTTGACCAGGCAAGCACAAGGCGAGCCTGGCCCATGGCCGGGCTTTGAGAGTAGTAAAACTCTCGAAACTCTTCAAATGTATCAAAGGTTCATTTTCCTTCGTCTCTCTTTATACATCATTACTTTCACCTCTGGAATTATTCTGATATCAAATCTCAGGACCTTCGGCAAGTGTTTTTATTAAATATAATCATTAATGAGCCAAGAACTACTACTTGAGGGATACCACTTGTAACATTGTCCACTGAGGACGTTTTTTTCTTTTCATGTGTTTATCATACGTGATTTTCTTTCAAACCAAAATAACTTTGTCTTGAAATATACACCATTTTATTTCTGCCATGATAACCGAGCCATGGAACTCTATAATTTTTTTGCCTCAATACCGTGACTGGAAGAATTTACTAAAAACCCACACCTAGGAGAGGAATTTTATGACGACCTTTTGCTCCCTCCTGGTCCATTGACTTAAGGTCCTACTGGACCTGCCTCGCATGGACCAGTAGGCCTGCTGTAGTGTTCTTTCTTATGTTCTTAAGTCACTTGAGAGTAGTTCAGGACGGAGCGAAACGTCGTCGTGAGGTTTCTTTTCCATCAGCTGGTGTTCGCTGAATCAATCAGTCGTTTCTTTGATCTGCAAAAACAGAATCAGTCTTCCCGACCTTTTCTTCCGCCTACCAACAGAGCCACAAAATTCCTCAGAAAATTTAAATATCCAGGAATTTCTAATTTTGAATCTAAATATTGATCATTTCGGGAATTTTGCTCATTCCATTTCGCCCACTTGTTTTTTCCTAATGATTTTCCTAATGGAATATTACCAACAAGAATGAAAACAAAGATAACAATTACAGGTCAAGCTTTTATCGGGATACCAATTACAGGTCAAGCTTTTATCGGGATAGCACTTACAGGTCAAACTTTTATCGGGATAACAATTACAGGTCAAGCTTTTATCGGGATACTAATCACAGGTCAAGCTTTTATCGGGATACTAATCACAGGTCAAGCTTTTATCGGGATACTAATCACAGGTCAAGCTTTTATCGGGATACCAATTACAGGTCAAGCTTTTATCGGGATAACACTTACAGGTCAAGCTTTTATCGGGATACCAATTACAGGTCAAGCTTTTATCGGGATAACACTTACAGGTCAAGCTTTTATCGGGATAACAATTACAGGTCAAGCTTTTATCGGGATAACACTTACAGGTCAAGCTTTTATCGGGATAACAATTACATGTCAAGCTTTTATCGGGATACTAATCACAGGTCAAGCTTTTATCGGGATACTAATCACAGGTCAAGCTTTTATCGGGATACTAATCACAGGTCAAGCTTTTATCGGGATACCAATTACAGGTCAAGCTTTTATCGGGATAACACTTACAGGTCAAGCTTTTATCGGGATAATTACAGGTCAAGCTTTTATCGGGATACTAAGCATATGTCAAGCTTTTATCGGGATACTAATCACAGGTCAAGCTTTTATCGGGATACTAATCACAGGTCAAGCTTTTATCGGGATACCAATTACAGGTCAAGCTTTCATCGGGATAACACTTACAGGTCAAGCTTTTATCGGGATAACAATTACAGGTCAAGCTTTTATCGGGATAATAATTACAGGTCAAGCTTTTATCGGGATACCAATTACAGGTCAAGCTTTTATCGGGATAACAATTACAGGTCAAGCTTTTATCGGGATAACAATTACAGGTCAAGCTTTTATCGGGATAACAATTACAGGTCAAGCTTTAATTGGGATAACAATTGCTGGTCAAGCTTTTATCGAGATAACAATTACAGGTCAAGCTTTTATCGGGATAACAATTACAGGTCAAGCTTTTATTGGGATAACAATTACAGGTCAAGCTTTAATCGGGATAACAATTACAGGTCAAGCTTTAATCGGGATAACAATTACAGGTCAAGCTTTTATCGGGATAACAATTACAGATCAAGCTTTAATTGGGATAACAATTGCTGGTCAAGCTTTTATCGAGATAACAATTACAGGTCAAGCTTTTATCGGGATAACAATTACAGGTCAAGCTTTTATTGGGATAACAATTACAGGTCAAGCTTTAATCGGGATAACAATTACAGGTCAAGCTTTTATCGGGATAACAATTACAGGTCAAGCTTTTATCGAGATAACAATTACAGGTCAAGCTTTTATCGGGATAACAATTACAGGTCAAGCTTTTATCGGGATAACAATTACAGGTCAAGCTTTTATCGGGATAACAATTACAGGTCAAGCTTTTATCAGGATAACAATTACAGGTCAAGCTTTTATCGGGATAACAATTACAGGTCAAGCTTTTATCAGGATAACAATTACAGGTCAAGCTTTTATCGGGATAACAATTCACTTTACATAGAGCTCTCTATACTGGGCGAAACGTTGCCAAAATAAAATGGTTTCTCTCTTAACACGTTTCTAGTGTTCTTATTAGATTTTTTATTAATTTGTTTTTTTAATAAGCTTGTTATTTTTTTGGCATATTGATACAATGTTTTTGTTGTGTTTTTGTATTGGTTTAAATTTTTTTGGCAATGGTCTACAATGCTTTTGCAGTGGTTTACAATGCTTTTGCAGTGGTTTACAATGCTTTTGAAGTGGTTTACAATGTTTTTGTAGTCGTTTAAATATTTTTTGCAGTGGTTTACAATGTTTTTGCAGTGGTTTGCAGTGGTTTAAGTGTTTTTTCGGAGGTTTACAATGTTCATTGCAATATTTTTTGTAGTGTTTCGCTAAGACGAGGACCTTGTTTGCCCCCAGATGAGGACTGGGAGCGAGGACACTGGGAGGATCGTGGACTTGAGGGCGGGGGTGTCAGCCCACGGCCGCCCACGGCACTACCACGCTCATCCTCCACCCAGGCTAAAATCTACAAGACGTCGCTCAGGGATTACGTCGGCCTCGAAGGGGTGAGTTCGAGTAGGACTCGAGGGGGTGAGTTCGAGTAGGACTCGAGGGGGTGAGTTCGAGTAGGACTCGAGGGGGTGAGTTCGAGTAAGACTCGAGGGGGTGAGTTCGAGTAGGACTCGAGGGGGTGAGTTCGAGTAGGACTCGAGGGGGTGAGTTCGAGTAGGACTCGAAGGGGTGAGTTCGAGTAGGACTCGAGGGGTGAGTTCGAGTAAGACTCGAGGGGGTGAGTTCGAGTAGGACTCGAGGGGGTGAGTTCGAGTAGGACTCGAGGGGGTGAGTTCGAGTAGGACTCGAGGGGGTGAGTTCGAGTAGGACTCGAGGGGTGAGTTCGAGTAGGACTCGAGGGGGTGAGTTCGAGTAAGACTCGAGGGGTGAGTTCGAGTAGGACTCGAGGGGGTGAGTTCGAGTAGGACTCGAGGGGGTGAGTTCGAGTAGGACTCGAAGGGGTGAGTTCGAGTAGGACTCGAGGGGGTGAGTTCGAGTAAGACTCGAGGGGGTGAGTTCGAGTAGGACTCGAGGGGGTGAGTTCGAGTAGGACTCGAGGGGGTGAGTTCGAGTAGGACTCGAGGGGGTGAGTTCGAGTAGGACTCGAGGGGTGAGTTCGAGTAGGACTCGAGGGGGTGAGTTCGAGTAAGACTCGAGGGGGTGAGTTCGAGTAGGACTCGAGGGGGTGAGTTCGAGTAGGACTCGAGGGGTGAGTTCGAGTAAGACTCGAGGGGGTGAGTTCGAGTAGGACTCGAGGGGGTGAGTTCGAGTAGGACTCGAGGGGGTGAGTTCGAGTAGGACTCGAGGGGGTGAGTTCGAGTAGGACTCGACAAAGTAGCTGGAATACGATTCCAAAATAAGAGTAATCTTTATATATAAAAAATCACTCAATGTGGTACATCTATATAATATATATATATATATATATATATATATATATATATATATATATATATATATATATATATATATATATATATATATATATATATATATATATATATATATATATATATATGAAGGGAGAGGGGAAGGAGTGCCCCTTAAAGTTGGCATCAAGGTGCCACTCCCACATAGCTGGTGGCACCATTAGTGTGAGAGACAGTGAGGATTAGAGTAACTGAGAGATCAGTTAATGGAGAGCGTGGGGAAATAACAGCCAAACTCACAAGAAACGAAGTCAAAGAACGTTTCACCCGTGTGTGTGTGTGTGTGTGTGTGTGTGTGTGTGTGTGTGTGGGTGTGTATGTGTGTGTGTGTGTGTGTGTGTGTGTGTGTGTGTGTGTGTGTGTGTGCGTGTGTGTGCGCGTGTGTGTGTGTGGGGGGGTGCGTGTGTCGTGCCGAATAGGTAAAGCTGGTCACTTAGCAAGAACTCGTTTAAGATGAGTTTTTTTTTGCTAAAAATTTCCTCTTATACGTTTAAAGATATATTATTTTTATTTATGTTATTATAAAAAGTAATTTTGTATCAAAAGAACCTTAGAAAACTTACCTAACCTTATTATAACAAACGCATTTAATTTAGCCTAATCAAACTAAATATATTTTAGATAAGTTTACAATAATTTAATAATAAACAAAAATGTGTGTGTATGTGTGCGTGTATGTGTGTGTGTGTGTGTGTGTGTGTGTGTGTGTGTGTGTGTGTGTATGTGTGTGTGTGTGTGTGTGTGTGTGTGTGTGTGTGTGTGTGTGTGTATGTGTGTGTATGTGTGTGTATGTGTGTGCATATGTTGTGTGTGTATGTGTGTGTGTGTGTGTGCGTATGTGTGTGTGTGTGTATGTGTGTGTGTATGTGTGTGTGTGTGTGTGTGTATGTATGTGTGTGTGTGTGTATGTGTATGTGTATGTGTCAAATTCGCCGAAAATGGTTTTCCCTGGAGTGAGCTGGGGAATTGGAAATAATCAGATATGATTCGAGGAAGGGAAGGCTTGCTCCAATTCCTTGCATCAAGAGGCCCTTCGCTAGCATCAAAACCCTTGAAGGGATAAGAGAGAGAGAGAGAGAGAGAGAGAGAGAGAGAGAGAGAGAGAGAGAATCGGTGGAATGAGGAGTCAGAGTGACACTGGTACACCACTGAAGCACTATAGCACCACTGGAACACCACTGGAACTCTGCTGGAGCACTATTAATACGGGTGTCATTCACCGTAAAGACTGGTGGTGGTTGTTCACTGTGAAGACTGGTGGTGGTTGTTCACTGTGAAGACTGGTGGTGGTTGTTCACTGTGAAGACTGGTGGTGGTTGTTCACTGTGAAGACTGGTGGTGGTTGTTCACTGTGAAGACTGGTGGTGGTTGTTCACTGTGAAGACTGGTGGTGGTTGTTCACTGTGAAGACTGGTGGTCGTTGTTCACTGTGAAGACTGGTGGTGGTTGTTCACTGTGAAGACTGGTGGTGGTTGTTCACTGTGAAGACTGGTGGTGGTTGTTCACTGTGAAGACTGGTGGTGGTTGTTCACTGTGAAGACTGGTGGTCGTTGTTCACTGTGAAGACTGGTGGTGGTTGTTCACTGTGAAGACTGGTGGTGGTTGTTCACTGTGAAGACTGGTGGTGGTTGTTCACTGTGAAGACTGGTGGTCGTTGTTCACTGTGAAGACTGGTGGTGGTTGTTCACTGTGAAGACTGGTGGTGGTTGTTCACTGTGAAGACTGGTGGTCGTTGTTCACTGTGAAGACTGGTGGTGGTTGTTCACTGTGAAGACTGGTGGTAGTTGTTCACTGTGAAGACTGGTGGTGGTTGTTCACTGTGAAGACTGGTGGTGGTTGTTCACTGTGAAGACTGGTGGTGGTTGTTCACTGTGAAGACTGGTGGTGGTTGTTCACTGTGAAGACTGGTGGTGGTTGTTCACTGTGAAGACTGGTGGTCGTTGTTCACTGTGAAGACTGGTGGTGGTTGTTCACTGTGAAGACTGGTGGTGGTTGTTCACTGTGAAGACTGGTGGTGGTTGTTCACTGTGAAGACTGGTGGTCGTTGTTCACTGTGAAGACTGGTGGTGGTTGTTCACTGTGAAGACTGGTGGTGGTTGTTCACTGTGAAGACTGGTGGTCGTTGTTCACTGTGAAGACTGGTGGTGGTTGTTCACTGTGAAGACTGGTGGTAGTTGTTCACTGTGAAGACTGGTGATGGTTGTTCACTGTATCTTAGAGATGGGTTCTACATGACAGCGCTTTCAACATCGCTTATTTCATGGTAGCCATGAATAATTTCGGTAAAGCCATGAATGAATTTGTAAGTGATGCTTGTGAAAATTTCGACTTGTCACTGTATACTTAGCCCCCCAGCACCATACCACTGCCTGCAGGTGGCAGTGAAGAAAATTGCAAATCGTGAGTTTGCTATCATGGCAACTCCTTTGCCGTCAAATATTTTATTTTTCAACTAGGAAGACGGTGTTCTCTGGCGAGAAGTCCTCCTTTCTACAGTTTGGTTCTCATCTGTGAATGTGAGGAGGGGAGTTTTTTGAAGATATTCTTAATAGGTCCTGAACAGGGCTGCAAGATGAGTTCCCCGTCTTGATAAACTTGATACACAGTGTTCTATGTGTGAAGACCTATGCCACTCAGGGGATGAGTATGACTGTCATGTATATTTGCCATGGTATATTTGCTGGCAATGGGCCATTGCAAACATCTTTTCGGAACATTTGTAGACGGTGGCAAGCTGGCTCTGTAGTTCTACCATTTAGAGTTGGGTTTGTGTGACCTGTATTTGGTTCGACACATGCCTGGCAACCCAGCTAATGCTACATCCTTGCTTTCAAATAATGGTCCCCATGAAAGTCCATGTTTGGACTGTCCTCCTGGAATGGGGTCTGAACGCGTTGGGGGTCATAGAAACCAGGTTCTCTCCTCTCCCCACTTGAACAGTTAGATAAGTAAGTCTTTGTAAGTGGTAGTAGAAGTGGATTTCTAAGTGACAGGCTCCGGTAATGGTCTTGGCTAACTTCCCGAGCATGATTCCTTTCGTGCTTCGAGGATCAAAGTCTTTACAGAGGGATCGAAGGGCGAGGAGCTGAGTTGCCGTTACAGTCATGCTTGTTATTGTGCCACTTTACCAAACCATTCATAGATGTTCAGTGCGGAGCTCTGCTGTACTTCTTTGATTGTACTCTCTTTAATCTCATTCTGATTGCTGCCTTGGGTTGATCCAAGTTCACAGTCTACTTGAACTCTACGAATGATCTGTTCAACCGGGTTCTATACAACTATTCACCCTTTTGCGTCAGAATATCCGCTGTCTAAATGATAACTACACAAAAGATCAAGAAATGTTTCACGAGTATTTTCAACATTATAGGTAGAATGTGTAAATTTCTTGAGGCTCGATCCTCCGACCTCTCTGAAGAGAGTAAATAGTCTCATACCCGCCATGACAGTGGGAAGAGGCAACAAGGGGACAAGGCTTGATCCTCCGACCTCTCTGACGGGAGTAAATAGTCTCATACCCGCCATGGCAGTGGGAAGAGGCAACAAGAGGACAAGGCTCGATCCTCCGACCTCTCGGACGGGAGTAAATAGTCTCATACCCGCCATGACAGTGGGAAGAGGCAATAAGAGGACATGATTTAAAACTACGAAAAATCAGTGACAGATAGGAAACTGTAATGTATATTGTCATCAGTTTATTAATAGATAGCTGGAATGGATTCTTTCCAATGTATGGGAACTGTTGGTTATCAGAAACTTCTGTAAATCACGAGAATAAATTATCTGGCAACAGCTGTTAATTGTAAAAATTGTCATTCGGAGAATTTATTCCACTTCGATGTTAAAAGAGAAGTGTAAGTTGTGTCAGAATTAGGAATTATTGTCAGGCACAGGTGAAAATAGATACAGGTGGCGCCACACGCTGTCTCTGGGACAATGGTGCACTGTGTGTAAAGCTCTGTGTGACGCTCACTCTGTGTGAAGCTCACTCTGTGTGAAGCTCACTCTGTGTGAAGCTCACTCTGTGTGACGCTCACTCTGTGTGAAGCTCACTCTGTGTGAAGCTCATTCTGTGTGACGCTCACTCTGTGTGAAGCTCACTCTGTGTGAAGCTCACTCTGTGTGACGCTCACTCTGTGTGACGCTCACTGTGTGAAGCTCACTCTGTGTGAAGCTTACTCTGTGTGAAGCTCACTCTGTGTGAAGCTCACTCTGTGTGAAGCTCACTCTGTGTGAAGCTCACTCTGTGTGAAGCTCATTCTTTATGAAACTCCGTGTGAAGCTCACTGTGTAAAGCTTTATCAGGTCATCATGACTTAAAACACTACACAGAGCGAAACGTCATCGAAACAACAGCTTTTTTCTGCAACCTGAATATTTTCTTCACCATTGTTGTTGTCAGTCCCCCATTTTCTTCACTGTTGTTATCAGTCCCCCATTTTCATTACTGTTGTTGTCAGTCCCCCATTTGGATACAAGTCCACCTGACATAGTTATTTTTGTATCCAGTGTTGGGCGTAAAAATTCCAGAGAGTTAATGGAGGGCTCCGCATATACAGCACCTCTCGGCGGTGTTCCACATTTTCGTTGGTTTTCCACTGAGCCATTATTCCACTCGCAGGCGAAAATCACCAGCGAGTTGAATATAATGAACACTGATTCAATTAAAAATCAACATGGAACACCGAAAAGAGGTGCTGTATATCCGGGGCCCTCCTGTATTAAGACGAGAGGTGCTGTATATGCGGAGCCCTCCTGCATTAAGACGAGAGGTGCTGTATATGCGGGGCCCTCCTGTATTAAGACGAGAGGTGCTGTATATGCAGGGCCCTCCTGTATTAAGATGAGAGGTGCTGTATATGCGGGGCCCTCCTGTATTAAGACGAGAGGTGCTGTATATGCGGGGCCCTCCTGTATTAAGACGAGAGGTGCTGTATATGCGGGGCCCTCCTGTATTAAGACGAGAGGTGCTGTATATGCGGGGCCCTCCTGTATTAAGATGAGAGGTGCTGTATATGCGGGGCCCTCCTGTATTAAGACGAGAGGTGCTGCATATGCGAGGCCCTCCTGTATTAAGACGAGAGGTGCTGTTTATGCGAGGCCCTCCTGTATTAAGACGAGAGGTGCTGTATATGCGGGGCCCTCCTGTATTAAGACGAGAGGTGCTGCATATGCGGGGCCCTCCTGTATTAAGACGAGAGGTGCTGCATATGCGAGGCCCTCCTGTATTAAGACGAGAGGTGCTGTTTATGCGAGGCCCTCCCATACAAACAGTTGATTATTTGTCTCAATATTGAATACTCGAACAATAACAGCATGTTTGTGTTGGTATTAACAGTGTTGGCTTGTTTTGCTTAGAGTTTCCCTTTGCAATATTACACTCTGACAAGCTGTACAAACAACTGTGTGTGTGCACCTACTAGCCCACGTAACCTCACGCTTCAACTACATTGGTTATATATTTCAAGTTTCTTGGTCGAGTCTTTAAATCGAGGCATAAACTTTGATTAAGTTGGTTTTTAAACTGTTTTGATCCAAGGACTTGGAGCTCCCCTCCTCTTCCTGCGATCAAACCTGACTGCCATTTCCAAGGCGCTGTATGGTCCTAACAACTTCTTTACGATTGTAAACAAATTCTACATTGGTTTAGAATCTTTATGGTCTGTTTGAGCGCTTTATCTACCTGGCTATGAACCATCCAGGCTCTTCTTAAAGCTTTGTCCAACCTGTCCTAGAGTCTAACAGGTTTGACTTTAGGCTGTAACCTGGTAACGAGATTCCCAGACTTAGCCTCCAGCAGATGTTTCTCTGCCTTTGGTGCTTTGTGATGTTTACCCCTCTCCTGACCTCGGTGTGAACCCCCCTAAGACTTAAACCCTGCCCAGAGCATAACTTGACGGTAGAAGTGAGCATGCCCTGACCAGGTGTTGTGTCGCAGGTGGCATTGCACATGTCGACGGGGTTGCACACGGCCCAGGATGCGGTTGACGTGGTACACCAGAGGTTAAGGAAGACCGTGAGTGATATTTCTTCTTCCTTGCGGCCTCCGCCTCCACAGGAACTGCCACGGAGAGCCGCCACAGTGGACGAGCCGCCCAGAAGAGGTCCACCGCTGGAAGACACGCCACGCAGGAGTTCGGCTGAAGACAGAAAGCCCATCGCCACTTCCAACGATATCCCAGCCAAAAGACCAGCAGCTCTGGAAGACCCGCAGAGAAGACACCCCGCTGAAGACTCCAGAAGAAAATCTACTTTAGAGGAAGTTGGTAGGAAACTGACGGTGGAGGAGCCGGCCAGAGGAGAAATAGACCAGCTAAACCAAACAGAAGAGCGGCAAAGGCAGCCACAGAGCACCTCGGGAGCCATGCTGGCCAGAGCTCAGGCGCTCTACAAGAGTGCCTCCAAGAGCAGCATGAGTGAGTCAGAACTCAAGGTGAGTACCACTTCAACTAGTACCTCAATTATATTCCCAGTTCTCAAACTTAACTCACCGACTATTGGTTTAATTTTTAATTTTGACTGGTACGTCCTTTAAGATGAGATTATTATTTCACTACTAATGAGCGCCACATTAAGTAAATACAATTTTTTAGTAATCTATGAAAAATATTACGATCATTTATGTAGCAATGAATTTACTTTTATTTAAATTCAGTGTAACACTAAATTATACATTTATTGTTAAAGTTATTCATAGTTGTATACATAGTTATTTGCATCAAACGTCATCAAATGCTATAAACCACATATTGTGTCGTCTTCCCATCAAAACGACAAGTTTTAATGGATAATTAAAGAGAATGATTGAGATTGAGTTTATAAATAATAATAATAATTATTAATATTCTATTAACCCTTAAACTGTCCAAACGTAGATCTACGTTTACTCACGTAGAGCTCCAAACGTAGATCTACGTTCACTCGCGTAGCGCTCCAAACGTAGATCTACATTCACTCGCGTAGTGTTCCAAACGTAGATCTACGTTCACTCGCATAGTGCTCCAAACGTAGATCTACATTCACTTGCGTAGTGCTCCAAATGTAGATCTATGTTCACTCACGTAGCGCTCCAAACGTAGTTCTAGGTTCACTCGCGTAGTGCTCCAAACGTAGATCTACGTTCACTCGCGTAGTGCTCCAAACATAGATCTATGTTCACTCGCGTAGCGCTCCAAACGTAGATCTACGTTCACTCGCATAGTGCTCCAAACGTAGATCTACGTTCACTCGCGTAGTGCTCCAAACGTAGATCTACGTTCACTCGCGTAGTGCTCCAAACGTAGATCTACGTTCACTCGCGTAGCGCTCCGACCGTAGATCTACGTTTTATTTTACATTTCAAAGCATGTAAATCTGCATGGTTCAGTCATCGCAAGACGTGGTGGAGGCTTAATTCTTCATCTCCTAAGTTCGAGGAAGAGGTGCTTGCTATCTGTACTCACTGATTATCAGGATGAATGGGAGCAAACTAGCGAGGGCAGTGTAGGTTTGTCATCGTAATATTGAGTGTATGTCACTGTGTGTTTGTGCAGGTTGATGTGCGACTGCCAGGAGTGACCAAAAGTGGGAGTCGGGATGGCAGTAGTGTGGAGCATGGTGGCAGTGGCAGCAGCGGCGGTGGCAGTAGCGGCGGCGGCAGTAGTAGCGGCGGCAGTGGGGGTCCTTCTCCAGGAGGGCGTAAAGTGTCCCCGTACCTGGACCGGCCCAGCTTAGGCCAGCAGAGGTCCGGTCTCACCAGCGGTACAGACTCATCCGTGGACTCTGACCACAGCTTCGACTATGGCCTCCAAACACACTCCCTCATGCCCTCCTCCGCCCACACATCCACGCCCATCCCGTCCCCTCGTGGGCGTAGCGAAGTGCTGGTGAGTGGAGCGCCTCGTGGCGTGTGTGTCTCGCGGGATCCCTCGCTGGATAACGTGACTTCTTCGGTGACTTCTTCAGACTCCTCCTCACAGGAGCTGGACTCAGCCCACGCTACCGAGGACTCCCACAGCTCAGAAGCTGCCGACGAACCCGACACAGCCCACGCCCGCACCATCACCTACTCCTCAGGTAGGTAGGTAGTTAGGTTGTTACATAAGGCAATGCTTTTCTTTTTCTCTTTCTCTCCGTACACTCAAAAGTTATTACAGAATTTTTCCAAGAGTTGCTCTCTCTCTCTCTCTCTCTCTCTCTCTCTCTCTCTCTCTCTCTCTTCCTAGTAAGACCATTGTACTTCAGTAACCATATTTTATCTATATACAGTTAATCACATGTGACCTGAATTACACACTTTCATCCAGTCGTCCTAAATTTCAACAATTTTTCAAGGGCTCACGAACGCTCTGACATTTACTTGTGAATGTTGTTAAGTTTATATGCTATTTATATTGGTGACCAATGCCTTTTTTTAGTCAAAAATTCTTAACGTTCAAGGGCATTTATTTAAGTATTAATTTTCTTAAAGTTATTAAGAGAGTTTTTATGGTGATGGTGTGGGTAGTTAGGTTTATATGGTGATCGTGTGGATAGTTTGGTTTATATAGTGATCGTGTGGGTAGTTTGGTTTATATGGGGATCGTGTGCGTAGTTTGGTTTATACAGTGATCGTGTGCGTAGTTTGGTTTATATAGTGATCGTGTGGGTAGTTTGGTTTATATGGTGATCGTGTGGGAAGTTAGGTTTATATGTAATCGTCCGGAGATACTATGATAAGGAATAACAATCTGAATCATTTTTCTTCTTACCTGGGCCCTGGGCCCTGGGCCCGGGGCCGGGGCTGCAACTTCAGTTATTCAGTGACCAAAGTTCACTCTTCGTTTGCTAATCCTCACAACGCCAGAGACTTGAACAAAAAGACTAGAAGACTTACCATCATCCTCCAAAGACCTTGACGGAACTCAAAAACTAAAGAAAAAGACTAGAAGACTTACCATCATCCTCCAAAGACCTAGACGGAACTCAAAAACTAAAGAAAAAGACTAGAAGACTTACCATTATCCTCCAAAGACCTTGACGGAACTCAAAAACTAAAGAAAAAGACTAGAAGGCATACCATCATCCTCCAAAGACCTTGACGGAACTCAAAAACTAAAGAAAAAGACTAGAAGACTTACCATTATCCTCCAAAGACCTTGACGGAACTCAAAAACTAAAGAAAAAGACTAGAAGACTTATCATCATCCTCCAAAGACCTTGACGGAACTCAAAAACTAAAGAAAAAGACTAGAAGACTTACCATCATCCTCCAAAGACCTTGAGGGAACTCAAAAACTAAAGAAAAAGACTAGAAGACTTACCATCATCCTCCAAAGACCTTGACGGAACTCAAAAACTAAAGAAAAAGACTAGAAGACTTACCATCGTCCTCCAAAGACCTTGACGGAACTCAAAAACTCTTTGGCTTCTCACTCTTAGCTGTAACCTTCACAAAATTTTTTAATCTCACAAAAAAAAAAAAAAAAATTAAAACTCTTTGAATGTTGGCCCTGACGAAAAAAAATGTTCTCGATTTTTATCTCTGAAATTTGCTTTTAAGATTTTTGCTTTGAGAATTTGTACCGAGCAAAAAAAATTTGCTTTGAATAATGGGTCTAATTAGGCACTTCAGCTGTGAAGGTTTATCCCTGATAAGCCTTTTGCTTCAGTGTGGACTGTAACTAAAGCTTCTGAAAAGCTAGGATAATATTGGATCACCGGGTAATCCCATTACTCTTGCTGAGTGAGCTTTCTTCTGACTCTCTCAGTTACATTGTTTATGCTGAGTGAGCTTTCCATTCCTGACTAAGTTACACTACTCCTTGATCATGGTCAAGAAAAACAACATCATCACGATGCTTTAAGGTCTAAAATTGCACAGCTGAATTTATATATCATATCGATCATTACTTCGATCATTATATTAATCATTGTATACACATACACATACGTGCATATACGTACATGCATATACATATACACATACATGTATATACATATGCATATTCCACGTTTGTTTAATAAGTGACTTGTAGAGGTGTGAAGGACAGATGTGTGTGCAGCAGTTATCTTCACTGCTACAGTAAAGATAACTGCCATAGTAAAGATAATTCTACAACCACTTGTAGTGAGAAGTGAGAGAGAAGCTTATGATAACGTTTGGGGGCGACTTGGACCATTTACAAGTCACACTAACACAGGAAGGTGAGGAAACCAGTATATAGAACATTTAAAAAGTTGGAAAGAATAAGATGTTTACCTGCTGGGTGCATACAGAACAAAATGGCACAATACCATGACTAGCTCTTCACCTTCGTGTGTTAGTGTGACTTGTAAATGGTCCAAATCGGAGCGAAACATCATTATAAGCTTGTCTTTCCTATGTGCGGGTTGTCTGTGTTGTTCCAGTCACGGTATTGCGCCTTATTGCTCTCTGTAGTATGTTGCATTTCTTTCTGTCTCTCTGCATGCAACTTTAACGTAACTTAAACTGCATGGTAAAGTAAAGTATCCTTACTTGAGATTATACAACTGACATACTCGGTATCTCGTTAAAGTTGTAAAGCTACATTAAGAAACTATTTAAAGTGTTTTTGGTATGTAATAATGACATCTTATTACTGTGAGTCAATAAAGGAATAGTCTTGTGTAATAATTGGGTCTTGACAACTAGTACCTTCGAGGATATTTTATTAAATCTGAATTTTTAATTTCGTCGTTGTAGCGGCTAGTTTATTGTAGACCCCATATCTATCCTATAGACGCTAGTGGCTAACTTACTGGGCACTCCATATCTATCCTATAGACACTAGTGGCTAACTTACTGGGCACTCCATATCCATCCTGTGGAGGCTATTGGCTAAGTTACTGGGCACCCCATGTCCATCCTACGGACGCTAGTGGCTAGTTTGCCGGGCTCCCCATAACCATGCTGTGGACGATAGCGCAAAAGTATATGGATACACTAAATACTTAGGAGGTAGACCCCAAACTGGTTAACAAGAGTACATATGAATATATATTTACAACTTATATTCCATCTTTGAAAGCAAATTTAGGATATTTACTCAATATTTGGCATCTCATTTCCATTAATAAAATACCCTGAAATATTATATAGGTCATTAGCGTCTGTATTTCTCAATAAGTGGACAATTAGGCATTTTACATTTAGTCTGATCATCTGTGTGTCTGCAAAACTGTCAGAAATACTACTTGCAACCAAGCGTAAGCCTGGCTACTGCAACATGAGTCAAGCTTTTCACATTGCAAGTTGCTCCATAGTGAGTGATACATATACTAAGGTTTCTGACTATATCAATATTACATTCTGATTTATTATTTACTTTTCTTCTGATGTTATTGCTAATTCTTGACACTATCTGAGGCAGGGAAACCTTGTAGAAGCCATCACACTACCTGGAGTGTACCTGGAGGACGTTCCCAGGATCAACCAGACTCTGATCCATAGGGAGGCCGGGTCATGGGCCGGGCCACGGGGGTGTTGAGTCGGACTAGAGATGTATCGGATGTGAAAATTTAGATATCCACGGATGCGGAAGTGTATGAGGATGTCTTACTTATTTTGCGGATGCGGATGTGGATGTAAGAAATTGTGCGGATGTTCCATGGATGTTGACGTGGATGTAAGAAACTGTGCAGATGGTCTGCGGATTTGAATGCAGATGCATATGCGGATGTCTGTTTACAGTAAAACGCGGGTACGGATGTGGATGCCAATGCGGATGTAAAAAAAGTGCGGATGTTCCACGGATGCGGATATCCGATACATCACTAGTGTTGACCCTAGGAATACCCTCCAGGTATACTCCAGGTAGTGTAATAAACTTTATACGGTTGTCCTATCTCAGCTTTTTTGACCCCAAAATCACATTTTTACAAAGTACTTCACCTATATTATAGCAGTTACTGTGCCTTTGACCTTTCCTAACTAATGTATTCTACTGTTTTCAGCACACTTTGCACGCTCCGCAAGTGAAGAGTCCACCTCTAGTTCTTAAACCAAAACTTAAACAATTCCAGAATAAATAAATCTTCCATTCGAGTAACTGACAGGTTCTCTGTAAGTCTTTGTAATATACTGCTGCTGCTGCTGTAACCGCTGTTGGTATGGTTCAGTGTTAGAGATCTTGTACCGAGACTCTCAGAACTCACACTGTTGTCTTCCGTGTTCTTTAGGTTCCCACGAAGCATGCAAAGAATTACCCCTTTTAATGTTAGTTCCAGTGGCACATTACTGTAATATGTTAGTTCCAGTGGCACATTACTGTAATATGTTAGTTCCAGTGGCACATTACTGTAATATGTTAGTTCCAGTGGCACATTACTGTAATATGTTAGTTCCAGTGGCACATTACTGTAATATGTTATAATCAGCGTGTAAAACTCCGTATTATAGTGCACTTTTGACACAAATAACCCGTATATAGGAGAGAGAAAAGATTATGACGACGTTTCGGTCTAATCTGTCACAAGTCAGTGCATTTTTTCGTAAATCCTATTGAAAGAAATACATCTGAAAATAAATACCACCTGTAAAGTCCTCCATAATACGTTTATTTCAAATTTAGACGTGTTTTTTCAATTACATTTCCCCCCAAATTGCCCTATACAGAAGAACCTTGTAAGACAGTTGACTTTAAAATTCTCCAAGAAATTGCCATTGGAACGGACGGCAAAATTAAAATCATGGCAATCAATGAGGCGAATCTTGGTATGTTTATTGGGGACAAAAGAACATACCTGGAGACAATGTATATACACAGATTTTGCTTAATAAATAAATATATATATATATATATTATATATAATATATATATATATATATAATATATATATATATATATATATATATATATAAATATAAGGATAAATGTATATCTTACAGGAGATGGACCATACCAACATTTCCTTAATAATGAATTCGTTGGTTTTAAGGAGTGACTAAAATGGGACGTTAGGACCCAAAGTTTTCTGTTATCTCACCATTAATATTGTTTTTAATACCTGGCTGACTGGCCTTTGTGACTGATATTAAGGTTTCTCACTGGCTGTCTGTTTCTAGTAACTCTAAC